GAGGGAAGCCATAGCGCAAACGATGTCCTAGGCTTCATCGTCTGCGCTATGGCTTCTCTCAAGTTAGCGAGGGGAGGCAATGGTGAATAGGGAACAGAGAGATAGAGGAGACGACAGCCTGTACACGATGGTCAGCTCAATGACAACGATGACGAGAATGAGTGGAAAGTCAACCACACGTGATGATCGACCGGGTGGGCCGGAGGCGAGCTGGAAGCGAGCGAAGGGAGCGGACAACGAGCAGGGCGACAATTATGCTGAGGGAAAGTGTGAGGGAGGGAAAGAGTGGGGGAAGGGCAGATGGGGGGGAAAGGGAGAGAGTGGATTTGCGAAGATCGTGGAGGCTAACAAACTTATAGCGGGGGGCCAAAGAGCGGCTTCTCGGAGATGTCCCCACGTCATCGGGAGAAGAAGTATGTCCATCGAAGGCGGCGACAGGATCCACCTGTCAAGTGGACAAAGTGCGGCGGGTTGTTGGTTTGCGGAAATTGATGTGGTCAAATCGTACGATTGTGCACTTTTGAAGCCGCCTGAAAAGCCCAAAGCATCACATAAAATCTATTAATATCCGTTCCGCGCCTTAATCGGCCTTCGAAGCGGACTTTGCATAACTTACTTCAACAAATGCTGGTTTTATGTGTGTGTGTCCAATTAGATGGTATCCCGCGCCGCGATAAGCCTCGGACAGTTTTCGGCAGACGGAAGCAAAGTATATTTAAAACTTATCTGAAATATACCTATGCATCGGTAAGAAAGGCGCTGAGCCCGAAAGGTACCGGGCCAACTTCCCAATCGGGAATTGTCTGTGCGAAGTTCTCTGCAGAGGGACTGCTAGTGAGGCGAGTGACTTCCATACGAGTATGCGACGCATTGACCACATTCGAGGTCCTTTCCCAGGGAGAATTTCAAAAAAAAGATGAAAATGATACAGTGCAAAAGTCGGAGAGAGAGGTAGAACAGCTAGAGAGGAAACAGAAGGCAGGAGAGCACCAGTAGCGCTAGGAAGACTTGCTGGGGAAGTCGCTCGAGTGTACATATCGCCACCCTACGCCCGCCTGACACAAGCTTGTCCACTAACCTCACAACGTGCATGACTTCCCTTCTTTAACCGCACTACCCACGCCCACACCTCCATCCTTCCGCCGCCCGATTGCTCGCCGAGGCGCCACTCAACTAGCTTCCGAATTACTTGCAGCGCGGGCCGCCGGTGTCCGCCTTATCACCCCACGCCGCACCATGCCAGTGCCCGCAAGCTTCTCGACAGCTGCGATCATGTCGGGCAAGCTGGGACAGTGACGCAGACTTAGCACTCTAACTCCCTCCACACGTGCGCTCCGCCCTTGGACCGCAGCTTCGTTTGTTGACGTGACGATTTGACCGTCACATCAAATCCTGGTTGTCTTCACTCCACGACTACCTTTCCTTGCCGTTGCGGTGCTCAACGCGCCCATTAAAGTGCCGGTACGTCTGCAAGCTCGCTTGACTTCTTGCTTTCCCCTCACACCATCCCCCGAGCCATCCGTGTCTGGTGCGCTGAACTCTGAATGTCGCTGCAACATCCTGCACTGGAGCTTCAAGTTTCGGCTGCTTCAAGTTGCCCACCAACTTGAGCGCGGTGAGTCTGGCTGTTTGCTTGATCTTTTTCCTTCTCACATTGTCGTCAGCCAAATGCTTGACTCGCCTTCTGGAGAAACCGACAGCGCACTCACCATCACATGTCCACCTGAGCTGCCAATGCTGTGCCCGTGCCGACTCTCTCTAGACTCTCCCTGTGTGCTTACATTGCGCTCAAGGTATGGCCGCAGTACCTCTGCTTGACCTTGACTTAACAGCTTGCAGATTTTGTCCTTGTGTCGAGCGCAGAAGCCCCCCAGTACCCCCACTCCGCAGCTTCACTATCCACTATCAATTCCCGCCCTTATTTTGGTTCTTCTCGATGGAGGTATGGTCCGAATATCTCTGGTTTTGATTTCGACTCATGAAATTTCCAGATTTTCCGTTTGCTCGGCTGTCTCGTGCCGGTTTTGGAGCGGGCACCTCTGCGCGAAAACAGTCGGCCGACATGCCAGCCGCCGGCGGCAATATCTCTGTTGTTGTAGCGCTACCGCTGCCGCTGCCACCAACCATGGGTGTACTAGTATACGGTAAGTCTTCGTTACTCTTCTGGGGTTTGAAAGCTGACCTTGAGTTCTACTAGGCTAGTATTGTTGTGTGGGGGCCTGCACCTGCGTGAATGTACAGGAACCTCTGCTCGTAAGTTGTATCCATTCCTCATCCATGACACTGACCTTCGATAGGTTCTTTGTCTCGTTGTCATCGCCGGTGGAGCGGGAAACTATGGCGGTTGGGGGAACCTCTGCTCGGACCCGGAACTTATGTCAGTATGATCTTTTCTTCTGAGTCTCACGTCGTTGACCTTTGCTAGGCTTTCCTCTTGGATCCACCGCCGACTCCGAGCGGGAATCCATGCCGGCACGGAGAACGCTGGTCGGCAACCGCCGACGATGATGCTTCCGACTTCGCAGGCCGTGGTGGTGTGATGAACCTCTGCTCAGACGTGGAACTAATACTGGTATGCTGTTGTGCGTTTTGAATGTAACTTTGCTGACCCATGCCTTGGATAGGTCTTTTTTCGCATCTCAAGCTCCGGAGTCCGGACAGTCCGACGATTCCCGACCGGCGCGGGGGACCTTTGGCCGAACACTGATGGGGACGTTGCTGGTTGGTTTGGCGAGAAATCGGCAGTTTTGATTGAACTCACGAATCAATTGATGCTTACGTAAGCAGATTGCGGCGCATATTTTGACGTTCAAATGCTCATTTTTTGCTCCAGGTTTTGGTGGCCGGAGGCCCGACATTGCTCTCGGCCTCGATGTTCCCGGAGCCAAAGCTCTGTCTTTGGTGGCACTTCGGCCGCCATCACCCGCCCGCCCAAATATCGCATCAATCGGCGCATCAACACAACGTGCCATCGGTGCTGCTTTGCCATGTGGTCAACATGAAGCGATGGTGCCTTGCCTTGGCGCCGCCAGTCCTCGGCATACCCTGGCTGCAGCCGCGGCTGCTTCCGCTGCTGGTTCCCACCTGCAGCCTTCCACGGACCTTGCCGCGATTGATGGTGCATCACTACCTCTCATGTAAGCAGCGCTCATTTTGACCTTCACATGCTCATTTTTCCTCCAGGGTCTCCACGGCCGCAGGCCCACCATTGTTCCAGGCTTCAACCTTCCCGGAGCCAAAGCTCTGTCTTTGGCTGCCACGCCGCCATCACCGAACATCAGCCGCATCAGTCGGTGCATCACCGCCAATACCGACTGATGCCTCCCAGCCTTTGTTGATGGCACATCATTTCGGGTCAGTTTCCCTCCGTGTCTCCACTTTTGTCCTCTTGCTAACCCAATTTACAGCGCTAGCGACGGCTGCCGACGTCCGGATCATTGATATCATCAGATTTTGATGGTATTTTCAGGTGCATCCTTACCCCTTCTTTTTGTGATTCAAAGCTCATTTTTTCGCAGGTCCGGGCCGCCGGAGGCGAACGCCACCGCCTGGCTGTAAACGCACTCGGCACAGTGGATCCGCCACTGTTGCCGCTGGCCCTTGTAATAGGTTCATGTTCTTCTTGCCTTATACTTCCGCTTACATCTTTGTCTAGATCACCCGAACCGCGACCTGTGCCCGCGCCTTGCATCAGCTTGTTTCCCTCGGGACCCATGGGGAGTTGCGCTACCGGGCCATCATCTCTCCCAACTCATCGGGTCTGTCGCCGGCGCCGCGGCCAACCTCTCGTTCGCGGCACTATGGTCCCCGATTGCCAGTGACGGTACTGAGTACCCGTCATCTTTGCTTCTCAACTCTGCTAACATGTTCGTTTGTATAGCTGCACCTTTGGCTCGTGACTCACCCGCTGCACCGAAGTCTCTGTCATTTTCAAGTTGCCGCCCATGCCAAACTCTTCTGCGCGACGGCCTGACTGGCTATCAAGTCCGGGGCCTCCGGTCAAGTTCCCCCCCTGCACTGACTCCCGTCCTTGCGCGCGTCGGCTTCTATCCCGCCGCTGCATGTACTGGGACATTCCTGCCGGCAAGATTGACATGCTTCCGGGCACGGCCCGGCTGGTGCACGGCCAAATTCGCGCGGCTGCTATCAAGTCGGTCTCCGATCAATTTTCTCCCGCGCGGACATCACATCGCTTAGCCTGCCGTTTTGCGCGCGCCGTCAACCCTAAACCTTCGACATCACTCTCTCGTTGCCCGAGCTTAGGCCCGTGTCTTCCTTGGCCCACACCGCCGGACCTGCAGCACCCGAGGCGGATCTAGCCGGCCAGCGACATCGACATACGTAGTCAGTCGACACCCGCGGGATTTGCCACGATTTTGATGGTATTTGTAGGTGTGATTTAGGATGCCCCTTGCGCGATTCAAGGCTCGTTTTCGGGCCGCCGGAGGCCAACGCGCAGGTGGGCTTGCGAAGGGATTGGGTGTGTGTTGGCCACACGGCCGTCAGTGGGAACCGGACAGGACGGTGTACGGGTCATTGACGCGGCGCGCTGCCATTGGAAGGGGGAGTGAGGATGGAGGGACTTGCGTGGAGGGAGTCTGACGCGTGTTTGACGCGACGAGACGCGTCGCGACGCGTCGTTAATTAGCGTGTCTCATAAAAATACTGAATACATGGCTTTTACCCCTACCCGAGAAGCCCGAGACTGACTCTGCCTGAGACACCCATGAAATCCACCCAAACACGTCCCCAAACCCAAATTTTCGCCCGCTACTCGACGCACAAAAGTACTCACATGACGTTGTTTATGGGTCCGTGCGCAAGCCAACGAGGTATATTAGAATGGCCTTGGCCTCGCGCGACTTGGCGAGCGAGCGCGACTTAGCGTTGGAGCGAGGCGTGCGGGGAGGGGTAACATGTTATATAAGCAGATTTAATCAATCAATCTGCGCGCATTGCGCTTTGTTACATACAAGTCTTTAAGACGTAAATTGAGTGATTCAGATTGCAAGTTCTGTGCTCAGCGAGTGCCAAAACGCACATCGCGCAGCCAACTTTGGGTCGACCGGCTCCATAGCGACCTGCGAGGGATGGAACAGTATTCGCGGGCCTCCATCGACACCGTTTTCCTGTGGGTAGCCTTCAGCCGACATTGCAGCAACTGTCCCGCGAATTACTTGCCGTCCACAAAACAGAGGCAGACGGCGAAAGCGGGGAGCCTGACACGGCGAACGAGTTCCAGAACTCGCGCATCGCTACGACTACCGCTTCGTTGGCGTTATCGTTGCCCGAGTCGTCTTCGAAGAAGGCGTCGAGCTCGTCGCCGTGGGAAGAGCCGAGGGTGGGGTTGTCCCAGCTACGCACGCATGTCAGTCATTATCGATAGAAGCAGGTTCCGTCGCTTACTGGAACTGCCAGGAGGGCACACCGGACACGTTCAAGGCCCCGCCAACAGAGAGGGCACTGCATATGTAGCGCATCTCGCCATACATCTGCTGTCCTTGGAGGCTGAACGAGCCATTGTAGTCGGTCAAGGGATAGAATTGTGCGACCGCTGTGTCGAAAGACGAGCGGGACAAGTCGAGGTATTGCCCGGCAAGGAAGTTGTAGACCGTCGTTTGTGTCGCATTAGGCATCGAAGTGTTTGCGAGGGGATTGTCCAGTTCGGCGGACCAATGATCACCCTCATTGGTGTTGGAGCTAGAGATACATAGTCAGAGGCGAGTTTGCAAGGGCTTGCCAACCCCGCACCCAAAGATTCCGGGGACGCGGACGAAGTGGCCGTTTTGAAATGCTTCCACAGGTCTTTCGCGCAGGAAAGAACCGTCGAAGATTGGGCCGATGGGAAATAAAGCCGACGTCAAGTTGGCCAAAAGTTTGCTTCCCGCAGTCGCGATCGTTTTTGTCGATGCTGCACGAAGACAGGCCATGATGGCTGGTCCGTTACCGCTCCCCGAACAGCCTCTGAGTATGTATTGAGCCAAAGACAAGCAACAGAAGTTTTTTGAGACTTACGCAAAGCCCGCATATTGCATAAAAAGGTTCTCGATGTGCGGATCATTATAGCGGAAGAGCGACAGCATAGGTGGGCTGTCGGCAATAGCTTGACGAAAAAGTCCCTTGTCCTCCCCTCCCTCCGCTATCAGCTGTCGTGATTCTGAGCTTCTGGATTTGGCCAAAGAAATGCGCCTACGTGGTACACGACAGATGCGGCTCCAGCGCTTTGACCCCAGATCGTAACTTTTGTCGGGTCTCCGCCGAATTGAGCAATGTAGATCTGAACCCATTCTAAAGCCGCTCTCTGAACCCAGGTTCAGCAACTCGGGAAGGGCGACATGGATATCGCATACCTGGTCCAAGAGCCCGACATTCAGCTGTCCGCTTTGGTGAACTGGAGTCCCGGCTACAAGAATGAGTTTATTGTCATCGTTTGGCGAACACACAACTCACCAAGGAAGCCGAACTGGCCAAGGCGATATTCGAAAGTGACAAAGAGCATGGGCTGTTTGATGTGGGGCATGAAGAACTGCGCGGGAGCATCGCGAGTCCGACCGTTTTCGAATCCGCCGCCTAAGATAAGATTAGAGCGTGATTTCGACGAGCGTTCGGGGAATGTACCATGGAAAAAGACAAGGACAGGGAGGTTGCTGCCAAGGGTGGCGTTGATAGGTACATAGACCTTCGGGGGGCGGCGTTAGAATGATTATATGTTGAACAGGGGCGTACATTGCTGAACAAGCAGTCTTCGTCCGTTGTCGCGCCAGAGTTCGTCTGAGTGGTCCCGATACATGCGGAGCCAAGCTACAAATCGAGAGTGAGACGAGTTAGACGAGCACTGAACGAGCGTCACATACTGCAGTCGCGTCGACCTTCCCCAAATGTTTTGAAGGCGGCGAGACAGGTGCTCGCCAACGCAGTGCCCCAGTCGGCGGGTCTGCATAGCGCACGCCCAAGAATGATATAAGGCCCGTCGTCGTGTTCGTTACGCCTTTGAACGTCCCATCTAGAATGAAATCAGACACGAAACTACTCAAAGACGCGTACCTACAGTCCAAAGTGACAGTGGACAAAGTAGCAGCGTCGACCCCAAGGATACAAACCAGCAGGAGAATGCCGATGGCCACCATATAAGACTTGAAGCTGGACCTCACCCGCGACCATCGATGAATTGAGCCCCTTGGCTAAATATGCCCCTCACGCTCCCATGACCTAAATTTGGCTCTCCGGCGACGTTGAGGCTTGGGATGTGGTCACCTGGTGCTGCCCCGAATCTCCTTTCAGGCTTCCTCAAGCCCAGACAGCGTCAAAATGCTCGCGAGGCTTCGGGTATTTGCGCTGTCAGCAGCTAGGGTTGCCCCCCAAAGCGGTCGGGACTGAGATCGAGGGGGACGAGGCTCTGGGAAAGTTCAGCATCCGACGAGGCGGGGAACAGGATAACACAAACCCCGCGTGAACAGGCGTGGACGCCGGACCAGCGACTTTGACAGTACGGCGACTCGTTCCGACCAGCATAGACAGTCCAAAAGAAACCGTTATCCGAGTTGCTGTCTGCTTCAACGAAGGCCAACCGCGACGGAACCCGCATCAGCCGATTCGCCATTAGAGTCAAGCCATTCTTGCGAGAAAAGGAGTGCTGTCTCGCTTGTTATGTGCTTTCGTGGGTTTGCGGGTCAACAACTTCAGGCTGCGTGTGCGTCGTGTGCACGGCTTCGACTGTCGGGACAAGTTTTCATCGCTTATGTCATGCGATCACGCGCTGACAAACCTGCTTCAGGCCAATTCCTTCGCAAGATGGTCCTATTAAAAATCGCTGACGAGGCGACAGGAGGAATAATGCTCTCGGGAGTAAGCACAAGAAGCAGCTCGTGGTACGGTAGAGCTCCAATACTTAAGGGGACAGGAACTTACAAAAAGTCAGATTCAGTCCTTCAAGGCTTCTCTCTTCCCATGAGCGAATAGTCTGGGTATTTCGACAACAGACGACCATGAGCCATGCTATTTCGTGGCCGTCATATTCCGGAAGCTAAATGGCGCGTTTCTTTGTCTGTCTTTTCACAAGTTAAGATTACAAGTCGTTGACCTACTAGTAGAGCTTAACTGTTAACAGCACTCCCAGGAACTGTGGCAACACGTCGGTCATAGCCCACTCGAGAGGACATCAAACGACTCCAATCACTTCCCTGGCTCTGCGATTCGTTCTGAAAGGGCTCCTTCATGGTCATTGACACGTTATAACTTATCGTTGACCCCGGCTAGTCACTCTGATAGTCCAATAACATCGGACGTATGAACCTCCGCGAAGACAAGTCTATGCTCCTAATAGCACTAGCTCTGCATCGAAGAACATGACTGACAAATCGACGCTGCCTCGGCGGCAGCCTCGCTCGAGAGTCGACCATCTTCAAGTTCAAGAACACTCGTTGCGCTATCCTGAATGCCGCAGCGATTAGAGCAAGTTATTCTTCATCCAATCAACCTCGCTCTCAGTATTAGTAGCACTGGCGGGTAACCATCTGCTCAAGAATTGTCCCAAGCCATCCTTGATGTCTGACGAGTATGGGTCAGACACAGTCTATGATACTTGTCCAGGGTTGTTATACAGATACATTTCAATTCCAGTATTGACTTCTTCCAATTCCTTCCTTCAGTTGTTCAGAGTACGACGCACTTGCAGCTGCAAGTGAATCCTGGGTCATCGTCTCCGCCATTGTTATTGAATCCTCGCGAGGCCAAATCTGCGCCACCGCCACCTCCCCGCCCAGACGCCAGTTGCTACGGTGTGTATCAGTCAAAATTGCAGCGGATGGATAGTTGGATAGGGATGATTCGTGCTGAATTGGGCAAAGATGGTTACGCACCTTCTCTTTGTTGTACAGCCTGATTTCACGGACAAGATTGATGAATGCCTCGTCGACGTTGATTCGCTGTTTAGCAGAGGTTTCAATGAACGTGCAGCGAAGATTCCGCGCCAAATTGCGGCCCTCTGCCAAACCAAAGGACATCAGTCTCGCCAAAAAAACCAGTTATGACCACATACCGCTGGTGCTAACTTGCCGCTCGAACTCCAAATCACATTTGCTCCCAACGATGATCACCGAGGAGAAGACGTCGACGTTCTTGACCCGAAGAATCTGTTCGTAGAACGAGGGCACCTCTTCAAACGAGTTGCGGTCGTTGATGGAGTAAACAATCAGGAAGCCCTCGCCGTGAATCATGTACTGCTCTCGCATAGCCCTGGTAGTGGCTCGTCAATAGCCAGCTATTTATGGTGTTGCGCCACGCACCGATACTCCTCCTGGCCAGCGGTATCGAGAATCTCGAGCAGCGCGACCTCCTCGTCAATGACACACTGCTTTCGAAAGAAGTCTGGCAGTCATGAGCGACGACAGACGCGTTTGAGATGGGGTAGGAAAGACCTTCTATCGTCGGCTGGTAGTCCTCCTCGTCATAGCGGTCTTTTCAGCAAGTTAGGCGAGGATTCAACGAAAGCCACACGACACACTTTGGATGAATCTGACGGTCAAAGCAGATTTGCCAACGCCTAAGGGAAGAGGTCAGCCTACAGCGCGACCGTGACATTCAGTGGAATACGCACCACCTCCGCCCACGACGACCAACTTGTACTCTCGGAGGAAGTTTGCGAGGCTCATGAGGGGGGAAAGTCAAGCGGGGTCGACACAGAGGAGACAATGGAGAGGAGATAAAGCAAGGACGCGTTTGATGAAGGGCTCAGATGTACCAATCGGCAAGAGCTGTATTGCTTCCGTAATCATTGGCGTATATTGAAAAGCGGTGTTTTGACTCTGTTCCTCGAACCGGAAGGCACCGACAGCTTCTAGGGCTTCTTGCGGATTCGGACTGAGTCGATTGAGGAGCCAAGAGGTCAATCAGGCAGGAGGGCTGTCATCAAGGGTGCACCGCGTGCTACACCACGGTGGCAGCCTACAGCTCTCTCCACCTTGACAAGACGTGTCTAGTATCGTATACTTAGCTCGAGCATCCAAACCAAGTGGTTGAGTGGGGGAGAATGGGAAAGAGTCCGATGGACAGATGGCGATCGGAAATTTTGTTCCACCCAATTCAGATAAATGTCCTCGTCACAGTCGTACACAGTCGTACACACAGTCCCTAACTCGAAGACAAGTTGAGGAAGAATGGTGACTGGCAGCTTGACTCCCTCTCGAAAATAACAATCCAGAAAGTGCCATTGAAATGCATGCAACGTGAAGCAACAGGCTAATACCGACAACTTCGAGCAGCCAGCGTTCGTACTCATGCACATTCAAGTTCCCTGCCTGTGGAGTATGTTCGCAACCGATCCAAATACGAGGAAGAAAAGCCTACGATGAGGCCGTTTGGGGCTCCTGGGAGTTGGCAGGAATGGGCCCTTCCGATCCCACAGAGGCAGCGGGCCGTTCAGCTGTCGGGAATTTGCAGTCGTGAAGCAAAGTTATAGGGATCCTAGTAGAAGACGAGCGTCCGAATGAACCTCCGCTTGCGAGACCGTAGAAATCGGTGGTCGGGTGATCTATAGAGACGCAGGTAAATGTTAGGACAATCTAAAAGGGTAATGGTCACGTACCTATGCGCTGACCGAAGGGGTAGTTACTCTGCTTACTTTGCATCGACATCGCGGTCCAGAGGGGAGGGGTAAAATATGCCAGAGAGATTGTGTGACCTTTTTTGCGGTCTTTATACTTACAACGCCGCTAAATACACGGCCCATGGACACACAGTAATATATAAGATGCGGCAATAGCTGATATGACACGTCAGATGAACTGGAATCGTCAGAATGAGCACCGACTTACCCTTTACATCGAGGATTATGCTGCCACGGAGGCCTGGTGAGCATAAAGCTTTGAAAGCCACCACCAGGGCCACAAGCCACGAGATACGAATTGAGTCCAGTCAGGCGACGTCATTCCTTGTCTTCTTGAAGTTCTTCGAGATGGTTCTGGCGCTGATCATCGCAGCCTTGCCTGGAATGGGACGAAGGCTGTTGAGTGACGGTAAGTGGGAGAGTGATGCAGAGCACGTGCTGCTTACATCACAGCGTCCAGTTGAATCGGAGACTCAATCGCAAGTTTGTCTCTTCCCGTCATGCCGCCGAAGTTCAAGTTGGCACGGGCCCGTGACTTGAAGCGATTCCGGACGATCCATCCCACAAGAACACAATCGATGCCGCACTGCGCTACGCAGCCCGGGCTTACAGCGCGATTGAAGGAGCTTCGTGTCGCTCAGGATGAGCTGGAGGTCGACTATCCGTATATTCTCCGTCGCAGTCATAACGGTGCTTTTCGAATTCCTTACTATGAGATTTACGGTGCAGGACCGCCGACAGCGTCCCTTTTAGGCGTCAACCCCGGCGATGTTTATGTTGACACAAACCAACAGTTCACGCTCTATGGCTATACAAAAGGTGGTTGGCAGCGGTGGCGTCTTGAGCTTGAGTTAAGTAAAGAGCTCGAGCTCTTCCCACTCGTCGATGACGTGGTGGGTCCTTGTTCTGTCCAGTTTTCTCCGGTTCTTTGGCATCCTTTCGCTCCTTCCTACTCTTTGGGGGTCGATCGATACGAACACTGCGCTCGCTGGATTCGAATCGCAGATCTATCGAGGTTCTCATATGACTTTACATTCAAGGAGGTAGTGCCAACAGCCAAACTACGAAATCTAGAAATTCGGGTCCTTAAAGAGGTCAAGTGTCGAGCAGAAAGTACCCTCAATTACCGGATCCCCGCAGTCTCCTGGCCCTCAAAAGAGGTTAGACATCGTCTTTGCTGGTTAACCCCAGTAATGCAGTTTCTTTAGGTTCAGTCCGACCAGTTCTTCAACCAGGAATGCGCTTCGAATACTTTTAGCGGCTTCAAACAACCAATGGACACCACTGACCAGATGTCGCCTCTCTGTCAACGCGAAACCTGGCCTACTCCTTCGTTTGGGACGATCACCGAGCTGAAGACCCAAAACCAGTACTGTCCTGCTCCGGGGCCCATGGCAGTCGTCAAAAAGTCATTCCGGACCAAATTCCTCCCCGCGTCATACCCACATCCAGTCCAAGCGACACGAGCTCCAGGACCTCGTTCTCCAACCGCCAATGAATCGGAATTTGCGCATTTGTCGTACGAAATAGCTTATCATGAGTTCTATGGCATCAGCGACCCAGAAACAGAGTTGTGTTGGTCGCAAGACGAGGCGCCGCAACATGGAGACATATACCTTGACTGCAGGGCGGGGGAGTACAAGTTGTACGCTTATATTCCGTGTGGAGAGCCGATGCAAGGGAAGTGGCGGCGCTGGGCGGACAGTGGACACGCCTTCCCCAATCTTCGCTGGTCAGACGACACAGAGGGCTCCGTGATCTTGCATCCGGATCTGGAGGGGTACGCATTATGGGTAACACTAGAGCATGGAATTGGCTGGTATCGTGATGTAGCTGTGGTGCTGAGGCTGGGTAGAGAGGAAGCGATTCGAATTGGCATTATTTCAGCAAGCAGAGGACCCAGAGTCAAAACAGAGGGAGAGCGCTACAAAGATGCAGGGAGGATACTAGAATACGTTGTTGCAGGTTCGATTGCTATGGCAGACTAAGTGGATGGGAGTCAATCCAGAATTTTGCGAATATTCCTGTCTGAAGCGTGATGGTCACAGCGGTGTCACATCTCAAATTTTCGTCACTTTTCGTCGTCAGCGCTCACTCTGCTGTAGCCAATTCTCAAACTTCTACGCTGAGTCAGACTAGGTAACTCTTGCTCAAGTCTCCCCGTTCTTCTACTTACCATTTTCGCAATGATAGATGGATATAACACAGCAATCTGTCCGTGGTCATGCGCCTTATGCCTGGCTTTCCCCCAGTCCATTCGATCGTGAATGAGCAGTACTGCGCTCATCCTTCGCCCTACTCAGACGCTCGCCCGTCAGAATAACCGCGCTCAATCACCGGCACACAAACTTTATCCCGGGCGGACGCTGAATGAGTTCTACGACTCGCTTGGCTCAGTTGCAGAAAAGACGGCCAACAGGGCGGCCCACAGTTTCGGATTGGGTCCATTGGCTGTGGCAGGAAGGATAACGCGGTACTTCGACACCGGAGGGGAGCATGAACGGGAGCGCAAAATTTATACCCTTCACCACAGCCAGGCCTGTGTCGGAAAGCTCAAGAGGGACTGCTCCAAGCTGTTATATTATGCCTCCCCGTGAGTCTCATACAAACTCTTTGGCCCCATCTCTCAACGACAGCTGCAGGACGCACTCAGCGGACACGCAAATGGATGCCTTCAATTGCATCATCGATTTCACGACCCGTTACCCGGGTTTGCGTCATTTCTTCCTGGAGTCACGGTCAATCCGCACTCTAGTCAAGCAACCTGTCTCGCTAGATGGGCTCCGTGCACTTTGGAAGCCGCAGTATCATGGTCATGACAACGGAGACGAACTCGACTTTTTTGTGGGTTTCGCAAGCGCGTGCCTTGTCGACAGCGACATTACATCTCTTGTGGAGGCGAACCTAGTGGAAAATGCTCGTGTTGAAGGTTATCACGGTGGATTGACGGTTGTCGAGAAATTGCTCGTCGCTTTTGAGTTGCAGTATGTGGCCTCTCTCATCTCGAATTCTTTTCTTACCTCCATCGATAGCACCCCTACCGAATCAAACGCGTTCTTACCCCTTCGCTATATCGGCGGTATTCTGGAACTTCCCTCCTTTTGGTTACAGTCTGGACAACTCTTCGACACAGTCCTGCGAAAGATTGCACATGCTATGTCTCAAATCTTGCGAGACCTTGACGTCGAGCAAGCCTCCGATAATACCACCGAACTTGTCTTTGCGGACCTTGATGGCCTCGACATTGTTTTGTCCGCTTTCTTATCTGGAATCCATGGTTTCATCATTCGCTGCAACATCCTGGGCATCCTCCAAGACCAGGAGTGGTTCCAAGACACATTCCAGCTCGTTTCGCTTCTCCGATAGTACGTGGTTTTTCCTGCCTATTGCAACGAAGGTAGCTGATGCATATCGAAAGTCCGAGAGCCGAAGCGTTCTTGCCTAGTGCATATGTGTGGGCAAACAGCAGTCGCTTTCAACGTTGGTTCTCGACTCCGTATCAAGTTCGCGCGTTTGCGGCTGCGACTTTCATTCAGTAAGTAGATTGCTCTTGTCGACTTTATAGGCATTGACTAAGGCTAGGACTAGTACTGAGGCGACAGATTGTACTATTCCTCACGCTTCAATTGGTGCTACCACCAATGATGCATCCTGTCTATCGGATAGGCAGGACCAGGAGACTCTGCCCACATTGGATTCATTCCATGAATCGCCCAACTCCACAACGCCGAGAAGGAGGACATTTCACATCCTGCGGATGCTCAAATTCGTCCAACGTCTTTCGTTTCTACGTTCTAGGAGGGCAAAGGGCCACCCAAAGGAGAAAGAACCCGACAACGAGCTTGAACAAGCCCCCGATCCCAGTCCCTTTCCCGAAGTTCCATCGCCTCCCGTTCCAGCATCTAACACCCCAACACATTCACTGCCGCGACCACCAGAAAATCATATCGCGCCTTCTCCTCTCTCTGTCACGGATACGAATCCAGTGGGGCGCTTCCATGAATATACGCAGAAGACCAACCAGACGGTGGGCTGGGAATACTCTATCGAGATGTCCTCGGACGAGAAGGGCGCTGTCACGACATGGACAGTGACTTTGCTGTTGGATGGGAATGTGGTGGGCTCCGGAGTTGGGCGGTCGAAGAAGGCGGGCAGGAGGGCGGCAGCTGAGAAGGCGTTGGGTATGCTCGTGGGGGAGATGGGAGAAAGGGAAGGAGTTGCTGCAAATAAGCTGAATTGAAGCTCGCTTATGGATCCCCATACTCTATGTCGACCACCTACGGTGACCTACCTTCCCGTCGCGCCTTGGGAGGCGTCGGCGACGACTCGGCGCGAGGGATGGGACGATCGGGTGAGATGTAGGGCGTTCCCTTGTACCTGGCCTCTTCACTCGCTGCTTGGTAATGATTATGTGTAGACGATTGTTTGAGATCCTCATCCATATTCAAGACACACACACGAATCACCATCCACATCGCACACCCTTGTTGGGCAAGTATGTACCTGAACCTTACATTGGCAATTGCAGTCCGAGCACGTCATCAACTCCAATCCATATTGCAAACGTTAACGAACTTGAACAGACGGTGTATTCCATAAGCAAGTCGAATTACGATGATTTCCTCCTCTATTTCGGCTCTTGAACGGCCTTCCGAGTCGTTTGAACTGGCTTATTTCCCATATTGCTGTGGAAACCTTTGTCATAGCCTTTCTTTGTTCGCCATGACAATAAATGGGGCTCGGGACTCGGTGGGAATTGTAGATTCAGCTCCATATAGACGATAGCAGACTGTTGAACAGGCATCGATCGTCAGAGAATGGGGGGGTATTATATGGGATTCATGCTCACAAGTCCTAAAATCTCTGGCTTCCGCTTCGGCGAGGTAGTACCCCAGACGTATGATTTTGGCTGAATTGTGCACATATCATAAGCGTCATCGTCGTCACGCGAGAACGCAATGGCGGGAAAGCTAAAATACTTGTTCCCAATTTCAATTTCAACATGCGGAACTTCAATCCCAGTTGTCGCGTCGGATTCCAGTGAACTAGTTGAACCCCAAGTTTCCTTCGGTATCTTCCACAATTTGGTTTCGGTGTCCTGCGTGGCATTCGGAATCAGAGCAGCCACCTGGTTAACAAACTCGTCATCGAGAAAGGTGTAGATCGCTCCTATGCTTGGATGAAACACAGTTACACGGCAAATTGTGTCAACTGGTACTCACCGGTATCCAGTATGATCGTTTTCTTAGAATTGGTTGTTTCGATAACCCGATTATTCAGTTTTTTGGTGCGGCAGTCGACCTCCCATTGATAGGCACCCCGCACTGGTATATCCTTGTTCCAATCCTTTGTTGTTTTCTTATCCTCGACACGGTGCCCAAAAATGATAGAACTAGTAATATGACTCGGAGTTAATTTAAAAAATGCAAGCGAGGTGACTTACCCTGTGGTTCCATCTGAAAAAGTTATGGTCATCTCAGGACTCGTCTGAAAAACTCGGTTAAACATATATGAGCTTAATGCTCCCTGATAAATAACATTACCAATCGGTTTCTGATCTGAGCCAGAAACGACTAGCCATGTCGGTTAATAACTGCTATGCACTTGTAGCCTGAGTGGAGAAACATACCAATCCCTCCTTGCTCAAGGTCATGCTAATCCACATTTAAAAAAAAATGAACGACAGAATTGAAACCGTGACCAGATATGACGAACCATCTTCCCAGACCAAGAATTCCGTCGGATGGGATGTGTTGAATAAGACCTGGGCTAATGTGATAGGCAACCCCAAGGTAAAGTTGAAGCATTTCAGCTGGGGAATCACGCATTGTTGACGGGAAGAGAACATTCTCAACATATTCTTCGTAATCTAAAGCATATTCGTAAAATCACCAATATAATTCAAGTTCAAGGATATATAGTACTAACCTGCTTGGCCCACAATTTCATGGGCAAAGGCTGCACAAAGTGGGAATCGCCGCCGTGGTCCCAACTGTCCATTCATCCGGCTAATGGGATAGCCTGTTGGCTGGAAAATTTCTTGCTCTCGCGGGGTTAGAACTCGAGGATCTGGACCCTTGAACATAGAATCTTTGTCAATGCCAACAATGTCGGATGACGCAGCCCAGCTAGTTGATGATCAGTCTAATAGTCATGATTGTAGGTACGACTTAGTAGTGCTCTTCTGGCTGGCCCAGCCCGACATGCCAAGTGCCCGAAGCGCCCATTATGCGACTCGGACTAAAGGCTGAACAAAACCCACTGGCATGTCAAAATCAGGCTGGGGCCAAGAAGAGCACTATGGGTGTAAAAATAAAATGAGCCTCACAATCCATTCGAGCCTGGTATACAGAGAGGAATTATTAGTTCTGGGACTCAGACAGGACAACTTTGCACTGACCTGTATCAACTAGAAACCGCAGACGCAGCTTTGACTTCACTTGACCTTTGGCCGCCGGTCCCCCGAACTCCTAGAAGGGGTGATCAGGCTACCAAGGTTAGCGGGAATAGTACTTATGGCATACAAGGTCAGCAACGTGGTGTCCGTCTGCCAGTGGATAATAATGAGTTCAAGTTAGCAACTTTTTCAGCCGGTTCGAGCGATGCACGTACACGGCACATATTTCAATGTTCCCATGATACCGTGCGCAGTCTGTATGACGGTTTGCTCTTGGCCTCGGAGCGCGCTGCGCGGACCTCCACTGGCATCACGAGACCCCGAGTCGGACTCTGAGTCGGATGAGTCCCCGGCGCTGGAAAATGCAGGAGTGCCTAATCGTCTGCCACCGCTCATCACATCTAGTGCGAATCGGTTGGATTGTGCTTGTGTTGGCGGCGGCTGACTCGCGATATTCTGGATACTGCCAACCTGAATGCTGGGAGGTGAGATATTTTTGGTGCCGGCGGTCGGGTTAAGTGGAGTCTGAGTAGCCGTAGCGCTAGCAGCAATTGCGTCAAGCTCGATCTTGAGCTCCTCGTCCGTCATCCCCTTTGCAGCATGCTCGTTGACCAGTATCCGAATCCGTGCAAGGCGTAACTATGTATTTGAGTTAGTGCTACACCGTCTAGTGAAAGAAACAGCGCCGGCGCCGTCCAAGCCGCACCTCTTCAGCCAAGCTCAGAACAGAGACATGTGTGGTGAAATTGATCACAAATGTGTCAACCTTGCCAGTTGTGTCGTCTGTAGTCGCCATCGAGATTCGAGGTGTAGCACTAGTGGTCAGTAGTGGAGCTTGCGGTGGAGAAAGATCCTGGGGCGTCAGTGTTAACCCAAGCATCTTATATAGCGAACCGGGTGATGGAGCATAGCCGCCATCGCCATGTGGGTTCAAGTGGGAGCTGTGAAGGCGCGCGCGAGTCACAGCCTGAGCGCACACATGAGTATGCTCGTGGAGTCCATCAGAGATTCTGCCAGTGTTCAGCCAAGGTAGCCCAGGGCCAGGCGGCCCAGGCCTGTCCACGCTTTGTTGGTGCATGGGAATGTTCATGCTAATCGAATTCTTCACCGGAGCCAACCGGTACCCATGGTTGGAGGGTGGACCGGCGGTGCTTCGCCTGGTCGGATGGGATCAAACAGCGACAATTGTTTCTTGGCGCGACCTAGCGTGATGGAAAAGAGTGGAAGCTTCTCAAAAGATGGCATCCGTTCAACGAGAGAGAGGAACGGAATGTGGGTGGGGCTTGGGGGGGAGTCAAATGTTCCACTCTTTTCCATCACGCTAGCCTGAGATCCAGAATGGCGAAGGAACTAGGTCGACGCCGGTCGGTCTGCGCAAACTACGTGGGTAAAATGTCGCTAGGTGGAGGACTCGGACAGTCCGCAATAAGCCTGATGATCGATGATCTGCGATTTGGGGTTCACATTCAAGTTTGCGGGTCGGGAGATACCGAAAAAGCTGACAAGGTCTCGAGCGCGGCGTGGAGGGAAATCCAAGCTGATTACGCATGCTATTGTGTTGAAAATGATTGGATAGTATAATCTGAAGGAGGATTATTGTTGTCGCTGGGGAGAATAAGGGTGGGGCCATGTCGGAATGGAGTTGGTATCGCGATGCTCGTGACAGCAGCTCGTCAAGTTTGGCACTTCTCGAAGGGCCATGAACAGCGTGCCCGGAGAAACGGGGTTCATCACGCGAGCTAGTTCTGTCTTGTGGAGGTTAAAAACAGCGAAAACAATCTGATGGTTCGAGTCCCACCTAAAAAGTACAGGTGCACGTGGCTGCAGATAGTCTTGCGGATTGTGAATCGTGGCCGGCTGCCGGTGCCGTTTTGCCTCAATCGAGCCAAGCGAGTCGTAGAGCTCGTTCCGTTCAGTGTTCTCCCGGGATCAAGCTTGGGGGCTGGTGGTTGACGGACAAGAATGAAGGTAAAGCAGAAAAAGGCAAAAAAAGAAAAGCACGACGATTCGTGACGTGACAGTCACGCCGAGTACTTACTTACCTCCTGACTTCCTGGCTACGCAGTCAGCCAAAGGACATAAATTGACGTTGTATCTGACGATAAACAAGTTCTAGTCTACCCTAGTAGTCTGATCCCGAGTCTTCCAGTTCTGACCATACCGTCCGTTCGGTGGACCGCTCTCGCTGGACTCGCCTCGGCGGACGCGGGAGGAAGAGCATGTCGCGGCCCCATGTGTACTCCAACGGCTGAACGATGCTGCCATCGAGATAGCCAGTGAACCTGTAGGTTACCGTCTGGAGCGTGGGAATCGCCACAAGCACATCATATGCAGCATGGGCTGGCGGGCCCGGGTTGTGTTCGAGTGTGTCGTATGTGATGCCAAATGTTAGGTGTGTGAGGAATTGAAACTGTTTCAAGGTGATCAGCACTCTCTAGGAAGCCGTGAGCCTGAAATTCTACGCGGAAAGTATCATTATTACCCATGGGTCAATGAAAAGGAATGCAAAAATGCGGCGCTCGATGTCTCCTGGCCTGTAATTGAGCTCCAGCGAGCGAAGATGTGGTGTCCTTTGGATGAGAGTTGGCAATAGGTCAGACCCGGGCCCTCGTTCTGAAACGGTGAGGGAAAGAGTCGTTAACATCGGCCACTCTGATTTGCACGCTATAACAGAGCTTGTCCCCGGACCAGCGCTTGGCAAAGGACAGTCGCCAAGATCATCGAGCAGCTTGTGGACGTGGTAGGGTAGTCTAGATCTGCGGACCTTGGGGTCGTAGATGTCCCACAGCGCCCGCACATGTAAGCACTCGAGCGTCGTGGGAAGGTATCCAAACACGGGGTCTTCTGGGGCAATGTTGGACAGAGAACACGCGACGAGATTCGGTATGAGGTCGAATGCATTCCCCTCGTGTTTCAGCGAATACGGGGGAAGCCGTCGTGCACGCAGGTGAGGCGTATAGAGCAGGCCAAAGGTGGTCAGCAGTGGCATACCGCCCACTAGGGCTGAGAGCGACAATGGAGAACGCGGCGGGTGGTCGGTTACACTGAAATGCTTCAACCTCTTCCACTTGATCTCAGGGAAGTGTAGAGAAAGAAGGTCGCCGGAAATGGAGAGGTCTTCGACGCATTTGCAGGCGCAGTTTAGAAGCAGAGTGATGTTTTGCCATTCGCACTCTCTGTCGATACCCTTGTCACGACGAGTGCCATGGGAGCCGCCAATACATAACACAAGAGTTGCAAGTTGTTGGAAACACAGGTCAAGAGGAGGCGGGGCTGCATCTAGACGCAACCGGTAGATTTCCAAATGGCGGAGGGAAATCGAAGCCACGTCAGAAAAAAATTCGACGGGGAGGACCGTCTGCAGACACACAGTGAGAGTTGTGAGAGCCGAAAAAGAGCCAGAGCTCATGAGCGACAGAAGTGGATGTGGCGGGGCCGGTGTCCCGTTGAGAAGATGCACTTTGCTGCGACACGGTTAATCACGATTCACGAAGAACAAGGGCAGCCACGCACATAGGATAATGCAATAAGTTGGCGGGCCAAGTGTGAGAGTGTCGGATGGTGGTTTCGTGAAAGACCCAGGGCAAAGTCTTTACCCTGAGCTCCCGTGAAGTACTCGACAATGGCACACCACAGGCTCGAGATGCCTGATGCCAAGGTGGTGGTTTCTCGGGATGAAGAAGAGCGAGTAGAGTGCGCAGAATGGCGGATAGAATCTCTTCCGGTAGTGAATCCAACGTCGCATGCATTCGTGGATTGGATGTGTGTCGAAGATGAGGCTGTGTGACTTTTTGCATCAGATGACGTCAGCATCCCTCTTCCTCCGATGAGTTGGATGACTCAAACAACATCAACCGACAGATTGCGAATTTGCGATGCTATGAGGAGAAAGCTCGAAATATTGTCTGTAAATGTTCTACCATACCATAGATTTCTCTCAATTGTAATTTGTGACGTCAACTTCAAGAAGTTGCAGAACCAAGTTGACGGGCCCGGGTGCGAGCGGTGCTCTATCATATGATATGCTAACCCACAATGCTCAGATTCGGACTCTGTCCTCATGGCTCTCGAGTCAACATCGGGTAATACAATCGATGACCTCCGGATCTGAGAGAGAGAGTGTGTGTGTGTCCAGACTCCAAACGGCGTCTACTGGGGCATGCGCAGTCCCTCCCCACGGCTGGCCGAACGACCGCACAATAGCACCAGTGAATTCAAATTTCTTTGTGATCATGCGAACGCCGAACACTCAGAAGTCGAATCATAGAAGTGCTGTGGACTTGAAGTGAATCAGAACAACCTCCGAGTCCAGAAGATCGTTGCGAGATCTAGAGTGACAACACTGACTCGAAGTACGCGTAAAGATTCCAGGGTTCGCTGGACAATCAGTAAGTACTACTAATCAGTAATAAGTAATTGTCCGAGTCATGCAGGCGCGAGACAAGACAACGATCCATCTCGACGATCAATTGACTTCGATGTCACGGTGGTTGTTCAGATTCAACTTGAATTTTCCAAGTTGACCGACCCTAAAGCATGACACAATATGCTACCTGTGGATAGCGTTGGTTGAAGTCAAGTACATGTACATTGCCTCAGTCGTTGAGGAACAGACCAAGTAAGGACCTCAACAGAATACATGATGTCTATATGAAGGGTTTGAGGTTGTGTAAGGGTGTCGCCCTTCGTATAACCCTCCGAGTCGTCGGCTGCGGCAAGGCAAGCAGACTGTGGTGCCATGAGTCGACCACTGTGTCCGGCCCGAGACCCGGATATTTCATGTGCCAATACCCGTCAAACTTGTATGTCACCGTTTGCAGCGTCGAAATTTGCGTGAAAAGACGATAGGCGGCGTGCGCAGGCGGGCCGGGATACTCGGACATGCTCTCCATCACAATGCAGATCTTGAGGTGGGCAAGGCATCGAAACCGCTTGAACCAGCTGAGTATGTGGTTGTTATCCTACACCAAGCAATTAGTAGACTGTAATGCAGGTTCAGCTCGACTACGCGTAGCATGTTGCCAATTAGTCGCACGAGCGGAATAGATGGAAGTGGAGGATGGTCGGCAATGGTGAAGTGCTTGAGGCACATCCATTGGATGTCGCCGAATTGCGGGACAAGAAGGTCGCCCGAGATGGCAAGGCTGATGAGTTTGTGTGTGAGAGAGCCCAGAAAGGCCAGAATATTGCGAGTTTCTTGTCGTTTGTCGATGTCTGGCCGACGTGTAATTCGCAACGGTCCTCCCACGCGAAGAACAAGACTTGATAGGGAGTTGCATGGGAGCTTCGCTGGTATTGGGCTATCGTGTCGAAGATAGTGCAGTTCAAGATGGTTGAGGGAGTCGAGGGCAGCCACTCTTTCAAGAAATGCACGGAAAAGCGCGGCATTGAAGATAACCATCAGTTGGGTAAGAGAGGGCATCTGAGATAAAGCAGCCTCTGACTCGGAAGCGCACAACAGTGGTACCTCGAAGGCGATAATGCTGACTGGCCCGTAGAAATGGTAAGGAGACTTTCCTGTTAATGCATTACCGTCATGGTTAGCCAGAGAGTCAGAATGACGCACATGAAATACGGCCAAAGTGTTCTGGGCCACACACCCGTCCCATTCTTCAGCAGGTTGGACACATCGGAAAAGAGCTATCGCAGAGTTTTAGCACGTAGTGTTTTTGACGTGCTGGACAACGATACTGCACTAGACCGTGAATGCTTAAGTGTACTGGACCGAAGGTAATCAAGAATGCAAGAAAGCAGCTCATTGGCGAGAAGCTCTATTAGTATCCGGGCTGTGGGGTCAGGAAGGGTCAGGAGTAACGCCGTGACCGTGACATTTCTGCTTTCATTCCTCTCCTTCCCATCCCAATTTCATCCTGGACCCACCGCGAATGCCTCCCATCAAGCGTCGGTCGGCGCGAAACCATGCGATGACTCGGTCAGACTTGGTTTCGGCTTTGAGCACGCTTCGGCGAGGACTGATACTACTCGTCAGATAAAAGTACATCGACGAGCGGCAAGCGCCCCGCCGTGTGGCCAGCGAACCATAGTCTCATCTACGACACCAGCTTCTCCGCTGCACGAGCTGATAGCAGCGCTTTCCACCTGCAGCTCTAGCACAAGCTATACCGAATCCAACCAGGACTGAAGTTTTCTGGGACTGGAGACGGGTCCGAGGCTGTCGTGGCAATCTCTCCAGACCAGACCACACTCAAACGACGAAGAATGAGTGTTTTGAATGGGCAAGGAGGTGAGTCGATGTACACTTGCGTTGTTTCTACTCGAGGACTGATTCCGTGGCAAGACGTTGCCAGCTGGCCATTCGCACAGGAGCTCGAGCCGTCACCTTTTCCACCATATTCGACGCGATATCGAGCTGGCCCTGATTGCGCGACGGTTCTATTCCCCCAAACTACCCTGGCATGACTCGGTTTCTCCCAAACTACGTCGACATCACCCCCTGCGTTCAGCATTCAATGCACATGAACTGCAAGAGACGGGGAAAATCTAATTCAAGTCGCTCTTACCCAAAACGGTGGCGGCAGAGCCGGTCAACTAATGCCAATTGTCGCCAACGGAATCGAGGAGCCGACATTCAAGTCTACATCGTATCTACTAGTAAACCCACCGAAGAATAGGTACCTTGTATAGAGGAGCTCATGGTGAGGTTGCGAAGTTCAGCATGGCAGACGAATTCGAATGTTCAGGGCTATGCAAAGTCTTTTCGAGCTCTTCGCATAACATCCCTACCCATCTTATCGACCACAAACTCGCCATTGAACTGGAAATCGTGACCGTGGAGATACTGGCGTCATTGCCTCGTAACGATGCTGTGTGAGTGTTTCTTACCAACCTTGTCATTAGAAGCTCACTCACAACAAGATATGTTGGTGAAACTACAAGGCACTTGCAGTCAAAATTCTGAAGCGCAGTATCAATCGCTCAGACAAGAAAGAACAGCCACATTTTCCTGTTTTCTCCACCAAACGTGCAACTGACATCTTCGCAACGGCACTGCAATCTTCACCCACCCAGACGTTACACAAAGCCCGACCATGACGAAGAACTCGGGGAGTGGTGGGCAAAACTGGCCTATGTGTGGGGGGGAGAAGGCTGGGTAGCGTGTCAGGGAGCGGTCATTATGATTGAGGGAGTAACAGCGCGCCCACAAGCAGTTTTACGTTGGGAGAAGGGCTGGATACAATGGTGTGTCCGCTACTTGTTCTTCTTTCAAGCTAACTCTGACTGTTCAGGACCTGTGCCCCGTCCCCTCATCCTCGCTCTCATTCTTTACCAACTTATCTGCTCTACCACAATCTTCTCGTAGGACACCATCGAGTTAGACTTTAGCTCATGTCCTCGAGGCGGAGCACCGAGGCTATCTTTCACCGAGCCGGACGGTGTTATTGGGTTGGACTCAGGATGTTTAACACAAGGATGGAGACATTCTCGGCGGAGGAAACAGTCTCGGACAGGGAATCGAGGTGTGTAAACCCCACGAAGCAACTCTTATAGCAGGACTGATTGCATATATCCAGGTTGGCGTCAGGTCTGTCACGATCCCAAACGAAAGCCGACAACGGTTTATCTAGTTGACCCCACAAACGCCGCTATTACTCGTCCGCCGCAGTGGGCCTATACTCGCGCAGCTCTCCCTTTACATGTCCATGGCCAGCGACTGTAGCAACTGTCGACATTCTCCTTCCTCTGTTCCTCGTAATCCCATCGCTCGCTCTTCCTCGAATAAAACTCTGTTCCATGCACCATGATATCATCGCATCGCTTTCTTTCGACTCGGTCCTACCATCCCGTCTCCCTCAGCCGATGACGAGAGAATTCGATACTTCCAATTGCCCATGCTTCGCATTTCGCGACCAGCCTAGCTTTCTGCACATGGGAGGCTTTGGCTCCCAGAAGCATTGTTTCCGATTGGGTCGAGAACATAGCTCGGATTACCTCCATGACGACTTCATCCAACGCTATCCAAAATGCTTGATTTTCCAAATTGTGGCTGTGCACCCGCTGGGCGTCACGCGCACGGTCAATTCCCACTCTAGTCAAGCAACATATTTCGCTAGATAGACTCCGTGCACTTTGGAAGCCACCCTAGTACTACCATGGTCATGAAAACGGAGACGAACTCAGCTTCTTTGTGGGTCTCGCAAGCGTGTGCCTTGTCGACAGCGACATTACATCCCTGGTGGAGGCGAACTTGGTGGAAAATGCTCGTGTTGAAGGTTATCATGGTGGATTGACGGTTGTCGAGATATTGCTCATTGCTTTTGGGTCACAGTATGTGGCCTCTTTTTATCTAGGATTCTTTATTTACCTCGATTTCAATAGCGACTGAACTCCACGCGTTCTTACCCCTTTGCTACATCAGCGGTGTTCTAGAGCTTCTTCCCTTTTGGTTGCAGTCCGGAGAGCTCTTCGACACAGTTCTACGAAAAATCGTATCATGGTGGATTGGTAGACGGTTATCGGGAAATTGCTCATCACTTTTGAGTCGCAGTATGTGGCCTCTTTCCATCTAGGATTCTTTTCTTACCTCAATCAATAGCTACTGAACCACACGCGTTCTTACCCTTTCGCTACATCGGCGGTATTCGAGTTGCTGCAAACAAGCCGAATTGAAGCTCCCTTATGACCTACCCTACTCTATATCAACCGCCCTTTCTATCTCGTTCCGTCCTCATTGCGACTTCTGTTTTCGTCTCTCAGGAGGCGGTGGCTGTGCCGAGTCGACAAAATGTCGATTTCCCCTGGAGCTGGACCTTTCATACCCTCCACAAGCTACCTTTGCTTTCTCACTGCTCAGTCATCACTCGTTACGCTCGTCACTCTCCGCCAATCCCAAGCCATTGTTTACTGTTTGCGGCGAACCGTTGCTAGAAGCATGGGCTGCCGACTGTTGGTGCATCCTGCCATTCCACTAGCTCGATCGTAAACATTCATCTCGCGCGGAAAGGCGGACGTCTTTGTTAGGGCTGAAGGAACTTTTGCGTCCTCGTTTTCGACATACGAACGAAATGGTTTCCCGGAGCTCCCATAATAGTGCCCATTACTTCTCCCAGATCTAGATGTTCCCATTGTATCGAGGCATACCTATCGATGGCGAATGAATCGGTGTCTCCGCCCACGCTCAGGATATACTCTTGATGCTCCGCCTCGTTTTCTTGCTTAGCACATTTTTGGTTTTGAGTCTTGTCTGCCAGTGGGACAATATGCATATCTTCCAAGCCCTTTCTCCGTGTTACACAATATATTAGTTAGTTCGGGTACCAGTATTCTAACAAGCTTCTCAAGGCTGTTAGACCATTCACGCTTTGTTGGCGCATGAGAAAGTTCCAACTTGATGCAGGTTGCTTGTATACTGTTTCGAACAGTGCCGAGGACTGAATTGCCTTATTATTCTATCAATTCTAACTGACTCGAGTGGAGGACCGTGATAACATTATATACTGTATACGAAAAAAAAAGAAAAGGTTACTAGTCTGAGTCCTCAATATGCGAGTAAGCGGGGCCCTCCAGGACAAGGTCACGAATGACGCGGGGAGGTGCAGGTCGGGCGAGCATTTCCCTACCCCACACGCAAGTCATTTGTGATTGCGGCGGCGAAACGTAGCCGGAGAACTTGTACACCACGGTCTGCAGCGTTGGAACCTCGACGAACAACCGATAGGCCGCGTGTCCTGGTGGGCCCGGATTCATGTGGATCCTGAGGTAATCGATGAAGATGCAGAAACGATCGAGTTGGTGAAATTTCCGCAGTGCGGTGAAGAAACCTGGCTGAATGTAGAGTGAGCGGATCGTCAGCGACCATATATGGCTTCGTGCTCACGTCTATAAAATCGATGGTCAAGAGGCGATCGTCAGAATTGTCATAAATCGTGTGCCGGAATTCGAGGTCGAGTACATTTGGTGCCGCAGACGCAATTGCCTCGATGAGTACAGCTGCTGGCGACGGGGGCCCAATCGTCATCGAGAGAGCAGTGAGATTCGGGAAGGAAGCTTGACTGAGCAATGACGTCCATTGCAGATATGACACCCGGTACTCACCCATCCAGCCCATAGGTGGAGAGCCAAAGGGTGGTGGCGCCAGCCTTTGATAGTCAAGCACATCCCACGCCGCTAAGAGGTTGAGCTTCTTGAGGTTTTGCGGAAGAGCTTGAAGAATGGGGTCATAGATATGCACATTCGAGAGCGACAAGACAGAGAGCCGCTGGAGGACTTGGGAAGGGACTGTTTCACCTGGTCGAATGACCCTGAAAGGCGAATATCGTCTCCTGGCAAGATCCGGTGTATAAAGAAGCTCAAGCTTCTCGAGAGAGGGCATCTGTCCAACAAGAGCGGACAGCGGAATGTGTGTGGGAGGCAGGTGCTCTGTAATTGCAAGGGAAATAAGTCCTGGCCAGTGAATTTCGCCGAAAGCCGGGGGTAGAATGTCGCCAGATATCGTGAAGAAACGGAGCTTTTGTGCGACAGTGCACAAGAGGTGCATGATATTCTGTGCTTCCTGCGCAAGGTCCACATTTGCAGGGCGGGAAACGCCGAAAAAGCCCCCAATTCGAAGCGACAAAGCTTCCAAGGCGGGGAGGGTCATCCGGGCGAAATTCACCTCACCATCGAGCCTGATTTGGTAGATTTCAAGTGAGGACAACAGCGGTAGTTGGCTTAAAGCGGAAAAACAGAGGTCGGGGATGACAGAGTTCAGTCTTATCGTGACTGTCGTTAGGTGGGACATTTCAGCAAGGGCCATGAGCAGCGCGTCTGAGACAACGATGGCCGCGTTCCGTGAAGCGGAGACATCCCGGATGTGTAGAGTCCTGTATTGACTTCAGCAACAGCAAAACTAGTTAGGTCCTTCGTCTCTCACCTAAAATGGGACCACAGAGCGCGAGGCGGCAGACTTTCGTGTCGGTTGTGGATCGTGGCAAACATCCAGGGTAGGACTGTGGCTCTCAAGCGGTGCGAGACGGTGGCCAGAGAAACCGCGCAGTCTCGACTGAAGTCTTCCTGCACATTTTTTGCTGAGTAAAGGATTCGACTGAGTGCATCCAGTATGAGATGAACCAGCTCTGGAGGAAGTAGCTCGAGACAAGACAACATGCTTGGTGATGTGACCAGTCACATTGTGGTCACAGCTGTGACATAGCTGGTCACAATGTCATAGCTGGTCACAATGTCACAGCTAAGTAGCGGCATAGCACAAACTGATTGAAAGTAAATAAAGAGTGTCCTACATATACAGCATTGTAGTAGCAATTGAGTCCAAGACTGGCAAATGTGGGTATTTTCAGATCCTAAATTATCCTAGCAAGAGCTTAAGCTTGATTTTTAACTCAGAGTAATATTCCTTCAGAGCATTGGATCATACCACATCCAACCATCCCGGTGACACGCACGCGAAATTTGCGCAGCTGTGGGATCGGGCTACACAGCCCGACCACAGCCATTGTGAATTGGCATGTGCCATTTTCGCTGGCAGACGCCGCCGCACAGCCGGACCGGAGCAGGGTTTCCCGATTGGGCTGGATGTCGGTCCGAAGCCCGCACCGAGCTCCGTTCCGTGCCTGAATGGAGGGTGAGCCATTGAAGGCTATTGGGAAGGATGGGACGCGTCTAGCGCGTGCCCATCCAGCTAGGACGACCATAGAGGGTCACCGGAGGTGGCTAAAGCTGGCACAGCCGCGTCGAGGCGCGTCCTAGACGCATCGCAAAGGTGAAACAGGCTTGTAAGCAAGCCTGCGTAAGCAGAAAAGGCCAGACGTGTAAGAGGGCAAGCAGTACGCGCTGTGCGCGCTGTGGGCACAGGCCAGATAGGCCTTTCGATGCGCCGGAGGGCAGTGGTAAGGCTGTGGTCAAAAACGTATATATTTGCAGCGTTTGTAGGCTTAGGGTAGAGAATTCGAGTGCCCGGCTCTGCGCGGGTTTTATTTTGCTATCGCCGTTCCGTTATCATTGTCGCCGTAATCGCCGTGTCCGCTATCGCCGTTTGTATTGGAGAACCTCTGTCATTGCGTCCCATTGTTCCGAGTACCCGCCCGTCGTCCCGCCTCCCCGCCCACTGTTGATCTTGGTCCCGCCCGTTGTTTCGCTTACCTAATCACCATCACCTTATCATTTCGAGCTGTTAAACATGTTTTCTGGATTGCAGCAGCTATATACTTTAGCTGGAACCCCCGTACTTGCGCCGCATCAGTTAACTACCCCACCCATTTCAAACTCCGACGTGATCCGGTCTGATCCGAGTGATCCGAGACTCGGCCCGCGTACTTTGGTGTTAGGCTCCCTGGTTTTGTGTTCTGTTGTGTTTTGTATGCTGATTTAGTGTGTTGTGTTGGAGTTTGTTTGTGTTGGTGTTCAGTTTTCTTGCGTTTCACCGGTGTATGAACTTGCATATAAGGCATTGACAAGTGGCCAGTCGCCAATGATGACAAAGGGGTGGTTGCATGCGGCAGCCCAAATTGCGGCTCACATGTGGAATGCACCCTTGTTATAATTGCTGCCATTTGTGTATTTCATGATCATGTTTGCAGTCCATTCAGGATTGCACAATTTCATGTGGTCATTAAGGTTGCTTGTCGAAGCATCATAGCGTGCACAAGTGACGAATCACAAAGGGGTTCTGCTACAGTCAGCGTTGCCCAGGGAGCAGACTGATTACACACTTTTTGCAATGGAACTCATATTGGATGATATGCCCACTGTGCTTGTTAGTTGGTGGCAGCACATAGTGCTTATAGCATGCAGTGCCACTGGTAGACCACACCTTAACTTGAGTTGCTATGCTGAGTGGTGTTCGGCCCATATTTGGCCATGCACCTAGAATGGCCTCAGGATTGTCCATATCCAGGTCTGGGTAGTGCTTCTTCATCGCTGAAAGGAAGAGAATGTCATTCTTTTGTTCAATTTGGCCGGATCACCGCTTTTTGATGGAATCAAAAGTCGCCTAAAAACCAAAAAAAATTGAGAAAAATTATTGCCGGTATTTTTTCCAAAATTGAGTGTGACCGTGACGTGCCGAATTGATCGAAATACTATAGTACCAGGTCAGCAGCCTGAAGAAAAGAAGTCAAAAGTATTATATTATATAATTATTAAGTTACATATATTATATGATAATATATTCCATCATTGATATTATGGATTCAATAGCCTAGATCACTAGGTACAGTCAGCCCTAGGTGGAAATAACTGTGTAAACTTGGAAACATCTCCAGTCCAATTATACGTATCATAAAGCCTCCATAGTCTTTTAATTGCAATTTCATTATGATAAAAATAGAGTTCTTTTTTGGCACTTAAAATATGGATGAAAAAGAAATCATTTTAGATGAAATATCTTATTTCTATATTAAAGGGTGAAATTTGTATTTTTTGATCTAATACTATTTTTATTCAGTTACTATATATCATGTGCTATTGATCGTTCTCTAGTATCTGTATATGCAGGCGGAGGAAGTGATAGGATCAAATTTAAGCCATCAACTTGGTTTCCAAGGCCAATTTGCTGATTGATGTTGTCAGTGTTATCTACTCTAATAGTTTCTGGCAAGTGCTTGTCCCTCCTTGTTCCAGTCAGAGCCAATCCCATTAGAGATGGCCCTGCATCTATTCTTGATCTCATGGAACTCTGTATATCTTGTGACTCAGATACCAGTGTGACAGGAAAGGGCTCCAGTGCTATAAGAAGGTCAGGAAACATAGACTACTGGTTGAAAATTTCCCTCACTAGTTCTGTAATTCATATTATCATGGTGCATTCTCCATCTTCTCCAGTACCAAAATGATATCCCAACCAGAATAAGTAAGACAAGCACACCTGCTGCTGAGCCTCCAGCAATCACTGGGCTTACTACAGCCCTATGCTTTGGCCAGCTTGTTATAGATGCATTTTGAGTAGAGCTAGTACTAGTGCTAGTTGGAAATGAAAACTTTGGCCGATCATGGGGTGTTGCAAAGTCTCCAGCATAGGTTATATAGTCAATCTGTGCTGCTGGGTTTGCAGGGCCAACAATGTTGAGAATAGTAGCAACAAGAGTGTGGTTTCCACTTGTCAGGCCTCCTAGCTTTGGTGTGGCAAAGTAGACAAAGTGTGGGCCAACAATACCCTGGGTGCTACTTGCAGTGAACGACCTGGTACATCAGCAAAACCGGAAAAAGCATAGAATAGTATATATATGTATATAAACTCACCCAAAGACCCAAACAACCCAAGCTATCAAACGGCAATGTATTGCCACCACGAAAAGTGATCTGCGACATGAGCTTGAGATTGCTCATATGACTTGGAAGTGTAGGTACGATACAAGGCAATGTAAGGTCACCCTATTCGCATCCAAACAAATGTCCGCCTGTTGCCATTGACCTTGCTGCTTACTGTTGCTCAGCCTGCCATGCAGTAGAAGAAGGATGCACAAATGTATTTATCAAACAACTGATACAAAAAAAAAACAAAAAAAAATTAAGCAGGGTCGTCGTCCTCCCCGTTGGCGAGTGCCTCCGCACGCAGGCGTTCCATATTACTGAGGGTGGGAGCTGCCGTTGGGATCACTGTCGTTGCATCGTTGGTCACATTGCGACCCGCCGGATCGCCAAATACAGCACTATGACGGATATATAAGCCCAGAATCGGATAGACAAAATGGAAATCATACCGGTTATACATAGCAATAGTTCGTGTGCGAAGGTTTGGCCTTTCCAGTTCAGTCATTACCGCCCAGAAGAACTTCTCGTAGTCAAATTGGCCCTCCCATCGATTCCATGAGCCGAGACTGGACAGCGCAAAACGGACCTGTCAGGAATATTCATGCTGAGTGGGAAGGTGACGAGGTAAACTGACCTGACAAGCCAGGTATGCAATAATGCGGGGTGTAATAGTCCGACAGTCAATGATCTTGGCGATAGCTTTGCGTCCAGCGTGATATCCATCGCTTTTGAGAGCTGACGAAGGTCCTTGAAGAATTGCTTTTGCAGACTAGGACAGTGTCAGTATATCATCAGCTTGCAATGACAACATACCCGGAGCATGATTGGACTTGCGGCGAAGTTACGCAGGGCGGTGATATCGTTTTGCTGACCAAAGGGGTACATGAAACAGGGTAACATGGAGCCGTCGAGAGCGTGGAGGCCAGAACGAACACCTTCGACAGGACTGGGAAGTAATGAGCTCAGGGATCAAACAAGAAAAGTCGTACTTTGGGTACTTGTCATTGTTCTTGTACTCCAACGGCAATAGCAACATACCGTAGTATGCGTCGTTGAAGCCAGGAAGGTCTTTGTTAAGAGCGGCATTGGCATTTGGGAAGATGGTGAGGTCGAAGCCTTCAAAGTTGATGTCGATGCTGTCAGCAGTGTTGTTGGGGGCAGGCGTCGCAGGCAGTAAGGAAATCCACTGGTGAATCTTGTAGCGAAGAGTTCCAGAGTCATCGGAGCGGACACTCTCTATGCCCGCATTAATCTGTGATCCTTTAGCAATCAACCATTGACACAAACGGTGACGCACCGAACGAGCAAGAGCATTGAGGAATTTGAAGTTATGGAAGTTGCTGAGAATAGTTGCATGAAGACCGGGTGTAGACTGCCAGAAGATGTCATATGCTTCCCCCAGCCGCTTATTGGCAGGCCTGAGGAACAGTGAGTACCTAAGAGCAGTCAAAATAAACCGTACGTCTCCTCCGCCTCATCTCCCGTCAGGCCCGTATCACGATTTAGTCCGTAGCGAATTATGGGTCCAAAGTCTTCAAATATTCCACTGCCTATGTGACGAGCAATGGTTCGCCCGACCTCGTGAAAGTCAGGTGGTTTGTCCGTCGTATTGGATGAATCGTTGTCGTTGTCGTTTGGGCTGCTGTGAGAAGAAGAATGATCACGGGACTGGCGGCAGTGCTGATTCGGCAACTTACTCTCGCTTGCGTTTGCGCCCACGATTGGTTTTGTTGGCAGCGATTATCTGGAGGGCCGCATAGTCGTTCTTGAGTTGAGTGATCTGGGTTTGAAGCTCGGCTGTTGTGAGCTCAGAAGCGTTGCCCCCAGGCGGAGTAAGAACCCCTGTATTGGTCCGGTCAATAAATGGAGAACTCGATGGTGGAGTTGGAAGGGGGAACGCCATGGGTGGTTCAGTGGAGGAGGGAGAGAGAGAGAGAAAAGGGGGGTTGATAATTTGATGGGTGGTGCCCCTTTATATGCTCCATTTTGTTTGTTGACTGAAGTCAGGTGCTGCCTGCGCGTTTCATGGGCTTGGAGCGATCACGCAAGCCAATGGACTTGTCGATTCCACCCATCCCCTTCCTTATTTTTGCAGAGTATCCCTCCCGCCGCCCGCAAACCCCCACAAATCTCGACGATGACATTTATACCAAACATTGTCAATCATTCCCCGAGAGTCCATCGAGCGGTAGAGGCCTCGATGGTGGCGTTCCAGCTGCATCTGTGGGTCCATCACCTATCTCCTGCACCAATTAATCGCTATTTTTCTAGATTGCTACAGTTCCATTAGTACCAAAGGAAGGATCCAAGTACAACTGGAAAACACCACCTGAGACTCTGGGACCACACTACATGCGCTTCCTCGGTGTCACTCAAGCCCTACAAGAGATCAGATACCGCGCCATAGCAAGATTTTTTTATAGTAACATCTAAAATCCATCTTATATAGCTCTAGATTGTCGACGGCACAACTGTTTTTCAATCGCGAACCCGTTTCTGGGCACGTCCTCGAACTGATATCAAGGAAGACTCATATGCTGCTGACAAAAGTGTCTTTGTTGTCCGGCGTGAATGGAAGAGCTCAAGCATAGGACCTGCACCGGAATGGACAACTCGTATTGGGATGCAGCACTGGCTGCTTGTGACTCTTCAAGAGGCCGTTGAGCACCTCTATCTATATTCGCTCCGATCAGAAAATGAAGCCAAGGTAAAATAATATCATATTTTCTATCCTCCTCTGATTACAACTTCAGGTGCAGCAGATGGAATCATGGAGCGAGCGAATGCTGGTAAGCATTTGAGTTTACCTCTCTTCCAATGTTTCACGACTTAACTTGGGCTATCTAGCCCTTATTCTGCGACTATGATCGATGGGAAAATTCTACTCCACAACGGCACCCACCGAAAAAAGATGCCTCAACGAATCCGGGCTCAACGGCTGTTTGTATAATCTCTCTGTATAGTTGGAATCTGAAATCTACGGTGTTCGATAATATGGCGCTGTCTATCAGTGGCAGTGTTTGCTGCGTTTTCTCTGCCAGCGACGACCCCAGTACCGACCTACCAGTCACTCGCGCCTTGGTTGGTGGCTGGCCAGTTGTTTGTCGTTACTGACCCTGCAGCCTCCAGGTCATGAGTCAAGCCAATTCTCCTGATATTCCATCCATATGGCCAAAGAATTTGTAAAACGATCGGTTCCCCTCTCTCGCCCTCGAAACAGGGTTCCATCCGCCCTCAAAAGCTGCTTCCATGTTATTCCAACGCCAAGGATGCCCTACCCCCACCTCCAGCTTCTCCTGGTTGGCATTCTCGTGCTTATGTCGTATGCCTGTGTCGCGCAGTGTAAGCACGCAGTCAATGGCACACCATTTGGACGCCTATCTGATCTCAAACGACACCAATCGACATGTCTCGCTTTCGAAACTCACCAGCAACTGACCACAGCCAATCGAACGACAGTGCCCAACACACTCGAATTGTATCAACGCCGGCAGCAAAAAAAGAAGGATAACCGTATTGCTACAGCCACAGCTGCCAGCGCATTGCAGTCATCCGAAGGTCTAGCAAATTCAGACCATGAGACATTGATGGTATGCTATAATACCTTCTTGGTCCCGTATCTCATGACCAGACCAACTAGCCAAATGTTGACTCGACACCAGCCGTAGAGCCAGACCCAGTTCCAGCACCGCTCAATGCAGCAGGTCGACCTATCCGACGCAAACGCAAAACTTGGAAGCTTCTTCAACAACTACCAGAGACGCCGTTGAGCCTCCCAACCACATCACTTCCCACCGAGCAGCCTACACCGCCATCGCCCACGCCGTCTACCTATCAGTGGGTTTGGCAAGGTTTGCGGACAACCGTGAACAGCTTTGGATTATTCCGCGATTATCCATCATGCCCAACCTACAACCCCGATGAACAGCTTGCAAATGCGGACCTTTCCGATATCCCTGTTCCTTTACATGCCAATACTGCGACACTGCCCCCCACTGAAGTTCCTTTCGCTACCCCGGTTATGCACCCAATGACTGTAGAAACCGAAACTTCTCAATCGGCGTCAGTCTGGAGTCATATGGCTGCGCTGGGACAATTCTCCAATTCCAGCCGTGCAGGACTGATGAGTTACTTCTGGGGTGGATCCGCGCAGAAAGACAATTCCCGAGTTTCAAGAGCTCGTCGACTTTCTGGGTTCAAGCGACTTCAACCCTGATGATGTGAAGGGAATGAATGTTCAGAAAGAGACCGAAATGCTTGACACACGACTGGCCGCACCTGTTGCTGGTATTCGCGATGGCTGGAAAACGGCGCCCATCAACATATCCGTTCCCGACGGGAACATACACCGGAGCGAAGCTGAGGCTCCTGTTTTTTCGGTGTCTGGCCTTTATTACCGTCCACTTGTGGACGTTATTAAAGCCGCCATCATCAATGGCGGCGCACGTTGCTTCCATTATACCCCGTTCAAGCAATTCTGGCTTCCTTCGCAGGACTCTCAACCCCAACGCGTCTATGACGAAATCTATTCCTCTGATGCGATGGTTCAAGCATACGAAGAGCTTCACCAACAGCCGCCAAAGCAGGAATGTACTTTGGAGCGAGTCATTCTCCCATTAATGTTCTGGTCGGACTCTACACACCTGGCCAGTTTCGGTACTGCCTCACTCTGGCCACTCTATCTGTTTTTCGGGAACCAATCGAAGTGGTTACGTGCAAAGCCGCGCGCTGGTGTCTGTCACCATGTTGCGTATTTCCCGAAGGTGTGTATGTTCTTATTGTACATTTGCGTGCGACTGACTACAATATTAAGCTGCCAGACTCTTTCAGCGACTGGTTCAAAACACAAAGCGGAGGCGACGGTCCGAGCGGCGAACTTCTCACTCACTGTCGGCGTGAGCTAATGCATGGGATCTGGAGGCTCCTGCTGGACGAAGAGTTTGTTGCTGCATGGAATTTAGCTAACCACTCTCAGAGTTCTCCTGGCAACTATTCGCAATATGGGCAAATGTCCTTGTCCACGGTGCCTGCTGCCGAAAGAACAAATCCCAGATATTGGTATGGAACTGGACCAAAAGCGACGCAAGAAGCTAGCTCGTATTGATGATGACCATCGCCGTGGTCGGCATTGAGCGTGTACGAACGTGGATATATGAGTGGGGCTATAAGATCAAGTCTGCTGCTGTCGAGCGCTTTCTCGGGCCGTTTTCCGAGGTGCCAACTTCGGTAAGACAGCAGTTGCTTTTTCTCTCTATCCCAATGACCACCATACAGAATGCCTTTTCCGACCGACTTGCTCGGTTCAACTTCAACCCCTTCAAGATGCTCGTCCCCGATTTCATGCACGAGTTTGAGCTCGGCGTATTCAAAGCTTTCTTTACACATCTCCTTCGGGTTTTTCAGGCATATGGGAATGGTTGTGTATCCACACTCGATTATCGGTGCGTGCAAAAGCAGGACCTGCCGAACAGTTATCTGATTCCGCTACAGATATCGTCTTATCCCTACATTTGGACAAGCGACTATTCGGCGATTTACGGAGAACACCTCTGCTCTCAAAAAGCTTGCGGCATGGAACTGGCAAGCGATACTCACCGTATGTAAATTTTCTCGGATATTCAACACATATATTGACTTCCCAAGTGCTCATTGCCTGTTGTCGAAGGATTGCTAGATGACCCGAATGACAATGCATTTGTTCTCGACATCCTCTTTACTCTTGCGGAGTTTCATGCATTTGCCAAACTCCGCATTCATACAGACGACACCATAAAGCATCTCCGAGCCCTGACCAAGGAACTTGGACGACTGCTTCGACGCTTCCAACGTGTTTTCTTACCCAGTTTGGCCCAACGCGGCATACATCCAAAAGAACTGCCATCTGAACACAATGCCCGCACGAGTCGGAAGGCTAAACGAGCGGCCAAAGCTGCCGCCACTCAACAGGCTCGTGGTTCTCAGCAAACAGCAAGGAGTACCAGCAGCGCTGCTCCAAAGGAGAAAGTTTACTCCCTTCTCACCTACAAGCTACATGCTCTTGGAGATTACGTGAAATCAATTCTTTGGTTTGGATCCCTGGACTCGTATACAACACAAACGGTACGTGTTCCCCATTTTTCTTTGTTTGTATAGTTTCACCTATCATCTATCTAGGGCGAGCTCGAGCATCGTCGTGTGAAACGTTTTTATGCGCGCACAAACAAAAACCGGGCTGTACGGCAGATGACACTACTCGAGCGTCGTGATACGTTCTTCCGCAACATTCGGGCTCGTGCTGTCAAGCGTGCAACCGCACTTGTTCGCCCTCATAAACCAACACCCGTCCATCAGCGTCGTAACAAGAGGACGCTGCCTTTCGCGGAGACAGAGGCCCTCCCCTACATGGCACCGGAACAGCATTACCATGTCGCATCCACCCAAAATAACAGTATTCATCTCTCTCCCATCCTGGCTATCCGACCATCGTGGTGATCCTGCTGTCCAGGTGTGTTTTATTGTGTCATTAGCGACGATGTTCACTGATAGCGGAGGATAGGACTTTCTACCCAAGCTTCAAGCCCATTTGCTTGGACGTCTAGTTCATCCAGACCATACTGGCGATAGTAACGAGTTCAGCAGAGAGCAGTGCGAGGATATCATCTTGCGAAATGACCGCATCTATTACCACCAAATGTGCCGAGTCAATTACACCACCTATGACATACGACGTGGTCAAGACCATCTCAATCCAACACGCCGTTCCGATGTTATGATGCTCAGCCCCGAAGGTGATACCTCGCACCCTTTCTCATATGCGCAGGTCCTGATGATATGCCACGCAAACGTCCTTCGCAAGTCAAACCCAACCCCGCAACATGTCGACTTTCTATGGGTCCGTCGCTATGCTTTTGACAAGGGATATAAATCTGGCTTCAAGCGAAAGCGTCTACATCGCGTTCATTTCATACCAGAAACAGACTCCAACGCGTTCGCATTCCTGAACCCAGATGAGGTCATTCGGGCTTCACATCTGGTTCCAGCCTTTGCGCATGGCAAATGCACTCACTTGTTGGCGAGCGACTCCATTGGGCGCTTGACGCGTGAAGGACTGGCTCCAAATGAAGATTGGACATCGTACTACGTCAATTTGTCAGTTTCTCGTCTTTTTCCTACATAAGCAGCACCCAAAGACTTACTGCTTTACAGCTTTGCTGATCGTGACATGGTCATGCGATACTTTGGTGGTGGTATAGGTCACTATCGAGTACCACTGCCATTGGATCCAGAGCCTGAGCCAGAGCAACAGCCGCAGATGGATGACCAAGAGCTACCAGTCGACACCCCCATTATCATTCCCCAGGCGGTAGAACCTCCCCAAGAACCGCCTTCGGGCCCTGCAGATCAAGAGGAAGTTGCCCCAGACCCCAACGAAGGTCCCGGTAGCGACTTGGAATCTAATCAGAGCGATTCGGATTCGTCTTCCGAATCAAGCTCGTCTGCTGGTTCCGATAATGGGGACAATGACAAGCTGCAACACAAGAGGGCACGTATTGCAGATGTGGAAAGAGCAGGCTCGGAGGACAACGAAACCGGTACCCAGGCTCGTGTCCTGCCGCGCGTTCGTTTAATTCTGCCATCACACCCTTCCGACTCAAGCCTCGGCTCCCAGCAAGGACTGCCGCTGACTATCACGGTGCCTCCTTCCTCTCGGCCTCGCCCGCGACCTCGGCGCAAGATTGTGCATCAGCAAGATGAAGAGGCAGAGTGGGAAGCAGGGGAACCTTACCCAGAAGAGCTCCAATATGGTTATGCACCGCCGTAGTATAGTACATATATGATATTCCTTGTCGGTCTACAGATAGAAAGCATGTGCTACCTTGCACCTACATAACAGTAATATATCTTCTTGTAAGTGTCTGTCCTGCTTGCATCCTACTTGGAAGCTTTCGCGTTGCCCGACTTGTGCTTGCAAGGCAATGCAAACCACGACAGGCTTGTGATCGATTAAGTCGCTAAATCTGGAATTTACAGTTTTGCTGATGTAGTGGATTGGCCATCAATGGAGAAGCTCATACTCAGCTCCCAGTTGTCTATGGTCGCACTTGCAGGGAGTATGCCATATACAGACACAGCCGTGCCTATTAAGAGGGTTAATGCGGTTTTGGATAACATATGTTTTTCTTACCAGAGAACAGAAACACAAATGAATCACCTACTGTTGCACTGGTATGCGTGGAATTGTTATGTGGATAGAAGATTGTGTCAAACGTTGGAGGAAGGGTCGAGTTGCCTTGCAAGTGGTAGTCATTCTTCACAGTCCACCCTCCATTCCACTGGATTTCCGTTCTTGGAATTGGTTTGGGCGGAGGCTGCCTACTATGGTGACCGAACTGGCTCCCGAGTCTGATGATGACGTGGCAGACAGTGGCGCGGATTCAGAAGATTCAGCGGGAGAGTAGAAGATTCGGAGGCAGGTTTGTCTTTTGGCTATGAACTTGAACAAGTGACTGTCGACTGGGACTCTAGGTGGCTCATTACTTGCTTGTACTTCTTTAGACCTTGCAGGAGGGTAGGGGGCCGACGTACTCGTAAGAGGGTACAGCTCACCCTCGCCGTCTTGTAAGGTTGCCCGGTACCCAGATGTGGGACCATTTGGGCTTGTTAAATGTTAAATGTTCCGGGCTCCTATCATCCACCAACATTGTACGCCCCTCCACATTTGTGAACTCGCTCACTTGGATGACAACATAGTCCACAGCTAGGCCGAGGAACCCTGTGATTCCGAGGCGAAGAATACCCGCCGTAGATGCAGTACCCGTCACCAAGACCAGGCCAAGTGTGGCTGGCGCTGCATATGTGTATGGCTCGTAAGTGCTGATTTCATCGGCGTTGGCACCAGGACGTGTCGAATCACTGATTTTGATAGTTTGGGGATATGGGATGCCCTGAGTAGACGAACCAATAGGGGGTGTTACACCGTATAGTGCCATTGAAGTTCCTATGGCAGAGGGAAGAAAATTGAATAGGAATAGTACTTTCAAGCACATCAGGGAAAAATGGAGCTGCAATATTAAGCTATATATAATATATAGCAGTGATAGCACTATTGAAAAGTCCCCCTGCTCATTGTAACACATAGCAAAGTGTACTGTAATATAGCAGGTGATAGCAAAGAGAGATGATCTCATAGCACAATATAGCATAGACAGTAGCTATCATAAACCCACAGAAATTCATGAAAATGAACATCCTATTTCTTGCCTTCTTTCCTTGCTTCCCTCAGTTTCTGGTTAGAAAACAGGCACTTTTTAAGTTTCACAGAAATGAATACTGTTTATGGGACTTGAACCCACAACAGCATGAAAGACAGCAAGCAGGTCTACTACTAGTCTATCAGTTGATTATAAGGGGTGGATTGTGATGGGCTATAGCCTTGGCTCTCATAGTTGATTCTCTTACAAACTGCTTTATTTTATGAGGTCTTTACTTGTTTACAGGCTCCATATGTTGGGACTAAGTAGCATAGACTGCTTAAGTACTTTATTTCATAGGACCTTAGCATCTTCCTAGGACAAATGTAATTATTGCCTTGACTTAACAACTTAGAATTGTATATTCTCAGTCCAGGTAACAGGGCAATTGAATATTGGATCAATTATTACTTTATTGCCAAGGTTCACTAAATAATATACTACTATATAGATATATGTATAGCTATATTATGCTATGATTATTCTATATAGCTAGCTGCAGTGCTATGATTATTCTATATAGCTAGCTGCAGTGCTATATAGGCTATATTGACCTCATATCTGCTATGCAATGCTATATGGAACCTCTATTAGCTATCTGTGCTATATTCTGCAATATAAATGTGTGGATCACTATATGGTGCTATCTCTGCTATATTCTATCTCCCTTTGCTATCTTGATTTTGTTTTTCCCTGATGCACTGCTCTGTGCTCACCAAAGAACTCGAGGATCCAGGGTGTAGACTCGCTATTCTGGTGCACAACGAACATGGTGTTGTTGTATTGTGCCGGGTATGCTGAGCTATAGACGGCAAACCCGCCTGGTGGCAGGTGGGGCATTGTTCGCAACTTGAATGTCCAGTCGTCGACAATGATGCTGACGGGTTCTGACTCATTGCCAGTGGCCATTGCAGCACCGATGGATGCAGGGCCTCAGCTTCAAGTTCAAGGCTTTGGGCTGGTGGGAGGCTGGGAGCAGAAGAGGGAAGGACTGAAAGGAGTTTAAGAGAGCTCCGAGTCAGAGCCATCTTGGAGTATCAGCAACTTATCAATCAAGAGCACTGTCATGACTCATTAAGTGTAGAATGAGGCTGCAGTGTATGGTTGGGAGAGAGTTACTTTGAGTAACAATCGCCGTCGGCATGCGACCCATCCCCAATCCATCTTGTCAACGAATGGAGGAAAAACAAGAATCACAGTAGCATAACGTCACTAGTACTGACATCACCCTTTTCTCCTTGTCGTTACTAGTAACGTCGACGGCGAACATTCCTCATTACAGATAGCACGGGCATGGAAGCACTCGTCCAGAACAAGTGTAGCGGAGGCTGCAGAGTACATCGGTGGCGCTGGATCGGACGCAGCCGTTGCTGGAGAAACCTGCTAGCAGACACGGAGCTGAGTATGGAGTAGTAGCCAAATTTGATAAGTGGCGGCACAAAAGCAAGCAACTGGCCATGTGCATTCCTTGGTCATCTGCTATGTTACGCGCGATATCAAACAACCATACCAATAGGTCCGGTCTTCGTCAACGCGGCCGACACCATTGCACCAGCTTCAGGCTATCATAGTTGCCCGCTCCGCATTCCCTGACTTCAAGCTTGACCCCGGCCCTTCCTGCCAATGTCTCTGAAGAGTTCAGCTTGGCGATGCACCATGTACAGCCTGTTCCGGAGGCGACAACACGAATGTTCCTGGAAAATCGGGCCCGAGCCCATCGCGCTCGGTGATCATGAATCATCCGTCGTAGCTGGTTGCTGATGCACGTCCTGCTCTTGGGCCCTGTTGCATCCACATAGTCAATCTGTTGTCGTTGGAAGAGTGACTGCCTCGCGGCTCCGAGGCGGTGTATCTTCAATGCAACTGGGATCTTTTATTAACTTGGAAGACCTGAATGACCTGGTCCACGACCGTTGCCCAAGCAAGCAATTTCATGTAGCTCATCATTGATGCTCGCGCCAATCTTAGTTCTTTCTACAGTTCTGACTCGGGAGCGTTGGCGTGGCGAAAGGCGCTGGCGGCTGAGCGCGAGAAAGCCTGGAGGTAGACGTGGTCGATGATTAGGTCGAAGAGCTCTTGCGGGAATGTCGTGTGGGCCTGGGGATGGCATTGACGGTGTCCTCGTCAGCGCGCGCTGGCATAATGCCGGGTACAAATGGATGGGGAGGAGATACCGCGGTCCGAGTCCGCGGCAGGAGGGAACTTGGAAAGATGAGTTAAAATTTTTCATTGCCAGTCCAACCCGCGTGAGCACTGAGGAGACAGATTACCGCCGAGGCACCAAAGCAGATCCGCAAACCCCTGATCCCGCAGAGTGGCCACTGGCATGACCAACTTGAAGTTGAAACAGGATGAGCATGGCTAAGGAGCACTGGGATGCAATTGCCGTTCAGGCCGGTGAATATCGAGCCGATTCCAGCGAAGAAGTGACATATGCCAGTGCATTCAAGCCATTATTAGAAGTAAATATTAGGAGGAGCTTTCGAGGCCTCCTAGCTCGAACGGAGGATAATCGCAGTACTTGTGGCACTCATAGAGAACTTGAAGCAAGAGCTATCGCGTGATTCCGTCGTCTTGATACGCAGCACTCGGAGCACAGCCAGCCTAAGAGTTCCCCATCGCATATATATCCAGAAATGATGGAGAATGGTTTCTGGTTTCACTGTTGGCGTCGTCGTTGGTGGGCAGGAAGCGTCCGAGTAACGCTGTGACACCGCTCGCCGTGACACCGCTGCTTTTCTTCCTCTCCTTCCTGTCCCAATTTCATCCTGGACCCACCGCGAATGCCTCCTACCAAGCGTATTCCGGCGCGAAATTGTAGCATGCGATGAACCGGTCAGGCTTGGCTTCGATTTTGAGCAAGCTCCGGCGGGGACTAATATTACTCGTCAGACTAAGTACATTCACCAACGGCAAGCGCCTCGTTGTGTGGCCAGCGGACCATGGTCTCATCCACGACACGAGCTGCTCCGCTGTGCGAGACGATAGCCGCGCTTCACGCCTGCAGCTCCACGACAAGCAATACCGACTCCAACGCAGACTAAAGTTTTCCGAGAACAGAGACGGGTTCGAGGCTGTCGTGGCAACCTCTCCAGACCAGACACACTCAAACGACGAGGAATGAGTCTTTTGAATGGGCAAGGAGGTGAGTCGATGTAAACTTGCGTTGTTTCTACTCGAGGACTGATTCCGTGGCAAGACGGGCAGTTCAGTCGTCCCTGTGCCAGCTGGCCAGTCGCACAGGAGCTCAGGCCATCGCCTTTTACACCATATTCGACACGCACCATATCGAGCTGGCTGCAATTGCGCGATGGTCATGTTCCCCAAAACTGCCTTGACATGACTCCGAACTCGGTTTCTCTCAAACTCCATCGACATGAGCCCCCTACGTTTAGCGTTCAATGCGCATGAGCCGAAAGAGACGAGAAAATCGGATCTCAAGTCGCTCTTATCCGTTTTCTCCACCAAACGTGCAACGGGCATCTTCGCAACGGCACTGCAATCTACACCCACCCAGACGTTACACAAAGCCCGACCATGACGAAGAACTCGGGGAGTGGTGGGCAAAACTGGACTGTGTGTGGGGGGGAGAAGGCTCGTGTCGGGGAGCGGTCATTATGATTGAGTAACAGCGCGACCACAAGCAGTTTTTCGTTGGGAAAAGGGCTGGATGCAATGGTGTGTCCCCTACTTGTTATTCTTTCAAGCTAACTCCGACTGTTCAGGACGACATTCTCTTTCCTCTGTTCCTCGTAATCCAATCGCTCGCTCTTCCTCGAATAACACTCACCATTAGGTGTTATATGCACCATGATATCGTCCCATCGCTTTCCTTCCACTCGCTCCTACCATCCTGTCTCCCCCAGCCGACCACGAGGGAATTCGATACTTTCAATTGCCCATGCTTTGCATTGCGCGACCAGCCTAACTTTCTCCGCATGAGAAGCTTTGGCTCCCAGAACCATTGTTGCCCATTGGGTCGAGAACCTGGATCACCTCCATGACGACTTCATCCAACGCTATTCAAAATGCTTGATTTTCCGGGTTGTGGCTGTGCATCTGCTGGCATCACCAACTTTTCCGTTTCTGCATGTCCTGTTGGTGCTGGTGCTCTAAAATGATGAGGCTCCCCGACCGCGAGCCCCAGCCGATTTCGCTCCAGTTTCGTCTGGCGGAAGCGGAAGCAGATACCTTGTTTCTTCCTCGAAGGCGAGGGCGGAATCATTCGTTCTCTCTGTGGGTCAAGCTTATGACTCTATGCATTCTTTTGCTTCATCTGCGGCATTCATAATCCATCTCGCACCACCCCAAAACCGAACACGCCCCCAGTCTCCACCATTCGACTCAAGTGTGGCTGTGCACGCGCCGAAAACCTCGACTTCCTCATTTTTTGACGGTGTGAGGGCGCTGGAGCTTTGAAGATTTCTACCACGTAGCTAAAGCGATGAATCGACAACCAGCACGTCTTTATTTCACTGCAGCTTCGTTTGTGCGAAAGTCAACGGTCATGGTCCTTATACTCGATCGCAAATTCAATCGTTCCCTGTGGGGTTGAAGCCAAAACACCAAATTCTTCGCCATACTAATCTCATTCCGCTACACCACTGCCAATGCCAACGCACTACCTAATAGTAGTCGTTTATGGCGATCTGACTTCTACATCGTGTGGCTGTGCAACACTCTCATCGACAAAACCTTCCCAATTTCATCCTGGACCCACCGCGAATGCCTCCCACCAAGCCTCAGCCCCTGCGAAATCCTCACAGACCATGTATTGGTCAGGCCTGTTTTCTAGCAAGCTTCGACAGGAACTGATACTTTTCATCACGACAGGAACGAGGCAAGTCCGTCATGGACAACCTCTGCGCATGCGGATCAACTTTCAAACAACGAGAGGAGAAGCGGGTTCGATAGGCAATGAGGTGAGTCAATGCCAATTTATACAATTCCTCGAGGGCTGATTTCCTATTGTCTAGACAGTCGAATCGTTCCTGTGCCAGCTGGAGAACCGCAAGAGCCTTGGCCTTTTACATCGGAGTCGACCCGACACGCACGTTGGTTTTCAATCCAATGGCGGTCAACTCCGAAAACCTACCTTTACCTGCTTTTCTTCCAAACGGTATCGCCATGCACCCCCCTTGTGTTTTGCATTCGACGCCGATAGGCTGGAAAAGACGAGAAAGCCGGATCTCAAGTCGCTCTTATTCGAAACGTTGACAGAGCAGGTCAACCAACTGGGGCCGACAAAAACGCCGGAGAATGGTGGCCTGGGATGGACAACAGGCGAGTAAACACCACCGCTGATCGAAAGGCTGCTGAATGACTTTTTCAGAATACTATGCTTGCCACAAGCTGGCATTTTAGATGTCCTCCCGAACGACTACTTTCTGCCGCCTTCAGAACTTGAAAACCGCCGCATAGTCGCGACCTTTTCAGTTTCGTGCCATGTACAACACAGCCGCTTTTGTTATCTCCCTGACGAAAACCACCATCCATCTTTTCCGTCTCATCACATTCATCCGCAACGTTCAATTGCAAGTCGTGCTGGGGCCGAAAAACCGAAATCTCTATCCCTTCTCGCGACATTTCTCGTCATCCTCCTTTGCGCTTCCAAAATCGCACCCTTCGATCGTGACTTGGTATCGCCGCAGCTTTTTGCGCTGTTTCCCACCACCCTCGGTTTCTCTCGGGGTTTGCATGCATATCTCGAAGCCTCGAACTGAATTTTTGTCGTCTTTGTCGTCGAATCCTGGGGAATTGCACCAACGCTTCTTCACGAGTCGAACAGCTTGCCTGGCCTTGCATTTTCGTTACCCAGGACTATCCCACCGTTGCGAGTCATATCCACGACGGGCCATAATCCTCTACCCGACAACTACATGTCTGTCCCATTCGTATCCGTCCGGCGAAACCGGCCGTGTCGTTGCGACTGACAACAAAATGGGAGTTTGTTGGGTTTCGGCCGACCCCAAAGAGCGACAGGCACCAATTGTGTTGCTAGTTTTGTGAATGGCTCGTTAACGGAGCGCTCTGAAGTGAATCGCGCTTATAGACTCCCTCTCCAGCATGTATCATCCCCACTACCCACTGCGGCTTTACTCCTCGTTACAGCGACTCTTTCGAGCCCATCTACTTCAATGCTGATCCCGGTGGCAGTGGTGGCGTTCGCCCAAATCGACGGCTGCGCGACTCCATATTCCCTTCATAATTGTGGAACTCACTGGCCACACACACGTTCCGCTGCACGGATGCCATCTCTCGAGAAACTCGAGCCTCGTTATTATACTTGTACTGGACCTTGCCAAGCAACAATTGTCGTTCAATGAATTCGGAACCTTGCCGCAATAACAGCAAATGCTGTGTACATATTCGTGCCTCTGACTCTGAGCCATTTCTACATCTCCGTGATCCATTGCTACTGCTTCCTGTCAGAACCCACAGGTTTGGACGGACTCTACGGAGCAAGACGAATGTCTATTTCTTCTTCGACTTTGATTTACTGCGATCACGAAGTTTATAGCCGTGACTTGGCCCCGCCTGAGCGGAGCCCTGGCTCCAATTTGCTGCAGGTACCGGGGCTGGTGTCGTTGCCGCACCCGTCTGCCAATGTCCGTGATGTGGCGCGCCAGATGTCCCCCCGGGCAGGGGGGCGGATGCGAGATTGTGATTGTGCTGTGGGTCCACCGGGGGACGTTCAGCCCATGGCGCTGGCGGTAGGCTCGGATATGCTCTGGTTGGCATCGGCCCAGGGTAAGGCACGCCTGGGGCTACCGGAAAGAAAATGCCACAAGCATTTGGGTTTGGGTATCCACTAACTTGTGGCATACTAGTGGTCGCGCCTTGGTCCCAGTAGGCCGGCCTAGGATTGTCGCCTCGAGTAAAGTACTCACCCGAAGCATGTTGTGGTCCGTATTCAAGTTGGGACTCACCACTGGGAGGCCGCCTCCATGGGAGCGGACTCAGCTGGCGGTACGGGAACTCCGAGTTTGCGAGTGAGCTCCTGAAGAGGCAGAATGTCTTCTTCGCATGGATGCAGGCCATATAGCGGTAGCCCTTCTCTCCCAGCGGGATTGAACTGGCTGAAAATGGTTCTCTGCACTGCCGGCGAATTCAAGCAGGGAAGAATAACAGGATAGGAACACTTACCTGGAGGCCTTTTGACTTGCAGTATTCACAGGGCTCTTTATATGTGGCCACCAGGACTGGGGCTGGTGCTGACATTGGCACGCGGCAGCGGTAGAAGAATGCGAGCTGGGGCACAGTAAGTGGACGAGCCTTAGGCCCTTTATGCTGTTTGACTTGGTGAGTCATTCGAGTTGCGTCCACAAGCCATGCACTCTAATTGGCTACAGATGTTTGCACAACCAACGTTCAACTTTGAACGGTTCAAGTTCACACGATCTCGATCGTCTGTCCAGTCAATTTGGAACTAACTGAGTAACTCGCTCAGGCTTGGGAGTGCTTGCGATTAGACAAGATGTCTCATCGTGCACAGCTCGGGAATGGAAGCTCCGATTTTAACAGCGATATGCCAAGCTCGGGGCCAGCCGGCAGGCGCTGGGAGTCTGGGACCAGGCAACTTGAATACCTGATGCCTCATTATTGAGTCATTATTAACGGGTCGTTCCAAGTGCTACAAATACTCAGCATGTACAAGCCTCAGGCTTGTTCAAGTTTTATCAGCAATCAACGCCTGAAGCTGCTTCGCTACAGTATCTGTCGTCGTTAGAGCGTGGATGTCGCCTGTGAGAGCATGGTGATCTGGGAAGCTATCAGTCTTCCTAGACGCAATAGACAGTGAGGAGAACATTTACCGTGTATGAGCCCACGTCGCTTCTGATCAATGAAAATCTCAAGAACTCTCCAGAACCCATCACGGACATCGGACAGCGCCTCCATCCATTGCCCGCAAGTGGTGCCCATGATGCGCGGGTCGCCGAGCGACTGCGAGAGGTGCTGAATGCCTTCCATGAATGGCCAGAAGATGGGATGGGGTGCGCGGGTGACGAAAGCAAGTACTTCGAGATGATAGCACTCGTTCAGGATCTTCTTGACGACCGTGGCACCAAGGAGGACGTGAAGAGCAAGGTGAGTCAGCTTTGGAAGGGCCACCACGAAGGGGATGACACGCAGCAGGTCGCGGGAGTGGCTGCTGTGGCCCTCGTTGTCGTAGACCTCGAGGTGCGTAAGGAATGGAAATGCTGCCGCGTGGCTCGCCATAGCGACTGGATGGGGCATTAGATCTTCCAGGAAAACGCCGAGGCGACAGAGCGGCATTGCAGAAAAGATGGGAAACAATGTCCGCCCAATGTCCATTTCATCAGAGGCGTTTACGACGATTTCCTGCACTCCGGTGCAGAGGCGGAGTGCTGCATAGACGCGGTTAACGAGTTCTTCGGTAGCCATCTCGCTCCCGTCAAAGAACTCGAGAACGATGCGACGCACGCTCTTGGCCAGAAAGGATGGTGGTTTTGAGTCAATAATATAGAAGAACGCCTCCATGGCTCGCTGCCGCGCGCAGTCAGGGCTAATATACACGTGTCGGTACAGAAATGGCTCGAGCCTGGACTCGTTGTCAGAGACCACTCACCCGTGGTTGTAACCTTTTGCCAAATGACCTGGTTATAACCAGGGTGTGCAGATTGCACCCACCGCGGATATAACCAGGGGGTGGTTGGAGCCACTCCGGGAATGAGCTTCGCTGACCTCCGCAACCCACCGGCCTCTCGCCATCATTGTTGGCCGTCGCCGCGATTTGCTTGGCAGCGCTGCTGCTGACCGGCGTCATGGTCCCGCCCCCTCCCGCTGCCGCCACGACGCTGCACCGCAACCTGGGCGCTTTTCGCGCCGCGCCGCACCGCTTGGCATGCACGACGCACACCCGCCCTGGCCACGCTTGCTACGCGTATGTCACAAACCGTCGTTCGACCAAATGACTCTCGTACATCCAACGTAAGTCCATACTTTGTCTGCATCAGTACTAGCTAATGGCGCGGCCGTCGAGCGCGGCCGTAGCAGTTGCCACCTGCCCTTGCTTCCGCTTCCGCTTCCGCTCCCCCTCCCGCCCCCCGCCCTCTCTCCTGCCCCCGTTCCCGCCCCCACATCCCTCGAACTGCATCGCCCATGCTGGCGGTGGCTGTGGCCACATTTGCCCTCGACCGCCTGCTGTCGCGGTTGGCGCCAACACCAACGCCCACGCTGGGCCACCCCACCAGCCACGGTCCACGAATTTCGCATGGGCGCTGGGGCGCCCACCACAGCCTACGTTGAATGGCTGCTTCGTCTTGATGGGGAGGCACGTCAGAATAGTGGTGACGGTGTAAGAGAGAGGAGGGGGCGCAGTCAGCAACAACTGGTGGCGAAAAGTGGGATCTGTCAGTGACATTGCAGCATTCCTGCATTTTACTAGGTAACGCGGGGAGATCTACCCATGATCTACATGATCCGGTGTCGGTAGCTACACAGGAATGAGACAATTCGGCGGGTCGCGAACTCACCTCAAATAGTCGCGAACTCACCTCCAAAAGTGAAGCTGATTAAATAGCTTATATTCCTACACCCGCTGGTCCTATGACCTCGGAATTGCATGGAAATTGTTGGGTAGGATCCTGGGGTGTCTTGAGATTTTTTCTAGATTTTATTTCTCAACAGTAAGCAAGAAGAGTTTCAAGTTCTCAAAAGCTTGGTTAGAGTTCAGAAACATGTATGCCGCAACACATTTCACTTGTACAATTTTGTTTCTCTAAACTGATTTTGATAATTATGGACTTCATATGAAGTGAATACCTTGTCTGAGTGTCATAGTGCAAATTCAGAGCAGTTTCAGCTGCAGACTGGCTAGAAAGTGCCTTTTGATTTGCCATCAGCTGTACTTTTGCAGATGTTTTTCTGGCACAAATCATAATATTCAGACTTACCACTGTGTGAGACAGCTAGTCAGGGGGTTAAACTATGCCTCATATCAATTCTATTAGCTAGGCAGTAATATACCAGTCCATAGAGGGAGAAGAACAAAGTTGCTGCCATTCAGTACAGTACACTTATTGAGGCACTTCATGGTGATAATGAGGGCAGGAGAGCAATTTGGACATGTCTATGACACTATTGGCAACTGGAAATTATAAACAGAAGGTCATATACACGTCCAATCGCAAGGGTGGGCGCTGGTCACGTGACCGTGACTGGCAATAGATTAACACTATTTTCCAATATTTGAGACACAATTATACTACATTTGGCTAGGCTCTCATGGTATATATGCTACTAGAATCTCTGTATGGCCTTTCTCTGGATTTCTTTCACTTACCAGTCAGAGATGCACCAACCCCTGACACTCCCTACAGCAGATGGGTTAATTGTGCTGTTTAGTTAAAACAGGGACATATACTGCTATATATTCATTGAAACAACTCATAGTAACAAGAAATCTGCAGTAAAGCAAGCGAATCGCCACGTGCTTATGTCACATTTGATGCGCCATCATCAGTGGGCGGGCAACGATGCCGCCACATAGCATGGCATGCTTGGGAAGTGTCATCGGCGACATGTGGGAGCACTGGTGGGCAACCATCAAACAGCTGCCAGCGATCAACGTGTGTGTGATTGATGTGCCGCATGACGCTGATGGCCCGGTGCGGCGGTGCAAGCCCGGTGCCGGGGAAGAGCCGTGTGTGTAGTGCTGAGTGCGTGCTGGGTGGTCCCAGCCAGGTCCTGGTTACATCCGGGGCCTGTGGAATCCGGTCACCCTGGTTATATCCAGGGGATTTTTTCAAAATATTACAGCTACGGCTCGACCACTTGCGTTAAAATGGAAACGCTGAGGTACTACCAGATAGATGTGCGATGAGCCACGAGGAGCAAGGTGGGAACAAAATTGGGGCTGGATTCGGCAGCAGTCTCCAGAATGAGTCGCTCCAGCTCTCGAGGGAAGTAGGCCCGATTCATAGTATCAGTGGTGAGAGAAGCTGACAAGAAGTGTATGTCCATCGCACAGCCTTAGCATAGCCAAAAAGTCAACCCAAAGTAGACATGCCGACCGGCCAGGACTTTCGTGGCTCCACAGCACCTGCGAGAGTAGTATACTTGGTTAAGTACTGGTGTTGAAAGCAAAGCGGACAAACGGATTCAATTGAGCCCCGAAACTGTTCATTTGAGAAATGGAGCTACTGAGGCGAGCAAGCTCAAGGCTTTTTTTTCAATCAAAAACGGCCCCGGAGTTTTTCTGTCCGCATCAGGCAATACCAGTCTACTGAGAATGCGCCAGACCAGTGGTAGGGCCTTCAAGTTTTCCTCAGCATCTAATAAATGGGTGATGATCTGTTCGTCGGAACTTTTTCCAGTAATCCAGTTTGCACTGTGTGATTCCTGTCAGCGTACTCAAAGCACAGACAGTAAAAGGATTCCTCGTCGTATAGACAGAAAAGAATTGAGCTTGGTTCTTGGTTTGGCTGTTGCAGTCGTGGTTGATCCAAAATTTGTTACCCGCAGTCACGGTGACACCGCTCTTTTCCTTTCCTCACTACAAATCCACCAACTCAGCCCGCGCGTCATCATAGCACCATGGGTTGGTAAGACTGCTTTGCCTGCAAGCTCGACCGTAACTGATACTACTCGTCAGATTGCGCTGACCAGCTCACAACGGACAATTGTCCCATTCAACGACACAACGCTCCCCTCTAATCGAACCGGAAACCCACGCTTGCCCACCGCTCCAGTACATACACCCAAGTTTTCCGGGAGCGGAGCAAGGTCTGCCGCGGCAACCTCCCCAGACGCCAGGAAGCGAGTCTTTTCGATGGGCGAGGAGGTGAGTCAATGCCAATCTACGTGTTTTGCCCAGCTCAAAAACTCATTTCGCATTGTCAAGATGGGCAGTCGAGGTGACCTCAACTCTGCAAACGAGTTATTCAAGCTCGATTCAGCGACTCCACCATCCACCACCTCACCTTTCCCATCGGCCCTTTTCCTCCAAACCGAGTCGACCTGCACCCCCCTGCGTTAGCGTTCGACGCCAATAGGTTGGAAAAGACAAGACAGCCGAATCTCAAGCCGCTCCAAGTCCCATTCGAAACATCCACACCCATCTCGCCGAACTTTGTTTCGAAATCGAGCAGCCGATGTTCCAGCGTCTACATCGCCTTCAAGCCCGCTGGAGAATGGGTTTCTTGTGTCGGTGTCGGACAACAGGCGAGTAATTCGCAACTGATTGAAGCGCTACTAAAGAACTTGCTCAGTGTAGAGTCGAGCGATACCTTCCACAAGCTCGCATTTTGGCGGCAACAAAAACACATTCAAGTCCTTTCAGAAGACAAGCTTCTGCCGCTCAAACGTCCCTGAAATCACATGGTCCATCTCCGTTGTTTCGTCCCACGTACAACAAACCCGCTTTTCCATGTCAAATCCGCTATCCATCTATTGCTCGACGTCCTAGGGAGGACTGGCAGTGTTCAATTGCCATTCAGTGATTTGTTGCAGAAGAGCCACAATCTCGATTCCTCCCCGCTCCGCCATTCTCTGTTTCGCGCTACTTCGATGGTCGCTTGTTCTCGCCCCGGTGACCTGGGCCGAACATCTCCCTCGCGGTTTCCGTGGCCTGTTAGGCTTCCAATCTCAAAGCCTCGAATGGCGTTCGCTTATTACTCGTCAAATCTAAACGAGTAATATTCCCAAATCGAATGGCTTGCCCAGTCTTGTATTCCCTCACCGACTCCAATCTTATCTCATCCCACTGTTGTCGCGCCATCTCGGAGACAGTCCGTAATCCTCCGCCCGACAACTACTACGCGTGTCGGCCTCATTCCCTCCCACTCTTATCCGTCTTTCGCCAACAGTGATTTCACTGTCCATCCTACTCCTGCCAAAGGCGTCGTGGTCGAATCACGAACAGCGGACATGGCTCGGTTTACTCGTTGTGAGACTGACAACGAGATGGGAGCTGGTTAGACTTTGGCCGACCGCGAAGGACGACAGACGGCAGTGGTGTTGCTGGCTCTCGTAGATGGCTTTGCGCCCTATTCGACTCTTTCGAGTCTGTCGAATCAATGTCTTCATTGGTGGTGGCTGTGCTATACGAAAGACAAAAAAAAGTGAAATTTCGGTTTCTTTGGACCACCCATTAGGCACTTTATCTTCTACATACTTAATCCCTCCGCTATTCATTCCCCTTATTGCTCCCGATTGAAAAAGTACTTACAGCGCAGCCCATTTCTGAGTGGAGCTGCGAGCGGGTGCCGACCTCCTTCCTCTTCTTCCCTCATTCATCGTCCGCCGTTGACCCGCGACTCGGACGATGACGCCACTTGCCATGTCAGTGACTCTAGAAAGCCTTCCCTTGGAAGTACTATATTGCATATTGAGTGCTCTGAGGCGACTGATTTTTTGGAAGACTTCAGCCAGGCTCCCTCTCTCTACATAAAGGGTTTGAGGTTGTGCAAGGGTGTCGCCCTTCGTATCACTCTCGTCGGCTGCGGTGAGGTAAGCAGACTGCGGTCCCATGAGTCGACCACTGTGGTCGGCCCGAAACCCGGATATTTCGTGGACCAATACCCCTCAAACTTGTATGTCATCGTTTGCAGCGTCGAAATTTGCGTGAAAAGACGATAGGCGGCGTGCGCGGGCGGGCCGGGATACTCGGACATGCTCTCCATCACAATGCAGATATTGAGGTGGGCGAGGCAGCGAAGCTGCTTGAACCAGTTGAGTATGCGGTTGTTGTCCTACACGAAGCAGTTAGCAGACTGTAGAGCAGAATCGACAAGAGTCAGTGCTTGCCCCAGGGAAGTCCACGAGATAGAGTCGTAAATCGTAGCTCGGCTGATCAATCACTTCCAAAGAACGCAGATTTGGCGCTCGCTCTAGGATTGACTGAAGCACAGTGGGTCCAAAATGGTCGGCTGTTCTGGCACGAGAAATGCACAGAGTAGTGAGGTCGCAGGACCTTGGTAGACATTGAAAGATGGCATAAGCTTCCTCATTTGACAAAGTGTAGTCGCCAAGGGGCCCCATACGCCAATTGGGCCCGGTATTGACATGCGGGTGAGGCCTGTGAGGCCCTTCGTGCAAGTTATGCAGCGCTCGAAGCCCAAACGTAGTAAGATTGGGTGGCAGTTGGCGGAACACTTCATCTTCAGGATCAAGATTTGAGAATGAGAGGGATTCTAGTTTCGGAAGGCACGAAAAGATGTCGTGACTAGCGCCTAGATCCAGGCGAAACGGGGGCAGGCGATGGTGAGGGAGGTCAGCAGTGTAATGTAGGTTTAGCTCGACTACGCGTCGCATGTTGCTAATTAGTCGCGCGAGCGGAATAGAAGGAAATGGCGGATGGTCGGCAATGGTGAAGTGCTTGAGGCACATCCATCGAATGTCACCGAATTGCGGGACAAGAAGGTCGCCTGAGATGGAAAGGCTTATGAGCTTGTGTGAGAGAGAGCCCAGAAAGGCTAGAAGATTGCGAGTTTCTTCTTGTTTGTCAATGTCTGGCCGACGTGTAATCCGCAACGGTCCTCCCACGCAAAGAACAAGACTTGATAGGGAGTTGAATGGGAGATTCGCCGGTATTGGACTATCGAGTCGAAGATAGTGCAGTTCAAGATGGTGGAGGGAGTCGAGGGCAGCGACTCTTTCAAGGAATGCACAGGAAAGCGCGGCATTGAAGATGACCACCAGTTGGGTAAGAGAGGGCATCTGAGGTAACGCAGCCTCTAACTCGGAAGCGCACAACAGTGGTACTTCTAAGGGGATAATGCTAACTGGCCCGTAGAAATGGTCCCATAAGGAGACTTTCCTGTTGATGTATCACTGTCATGGACAGACAGAGAGTCGCAAAGACTCACATGAAGTACGGCCAAAGTGTCCTGGGCCACACACCGGTCCCATTCTTCAGCAGGTTGGACACATCGGAAAAGAGCCATCGGAGAGTTTTGGCACGCAGTGTTTTCGACGTGCTGGACAAGGATATTCCACTAGCCCGTGAATAATCGATTGTATTGGACCGAAGGTAATCAAGAATGCAACAAAGCAACTCAGTTGCGAGAAGCTCAATCGCTGACATGGATGTGGGTCAGAAGTAACGCCGTGACCGTGACACTTCTGCTTTACTCATTCCAGCTCTCATTCCATCCCAATTTCATGCTGGAACCACCGCAAATGCCTCCTACCAAGCGTCTTCCGGCGCGAAATTGTAGCATGCGATGACTTGGTCAGACTTGGTTTCGGCTTTGACCACGCTTCAGCGACGACTGATATTACTCCTCAGATAAAAGCACACTGACCAGCGGCAAGCGCCCCGCCGTGTGGCCAGCGGACCATAGTCTTATCTACGACACAAGCTTCTCCGCTGCACGAGCTGATAGCCGCGCTTTACACCTCCAGCTCCAGCACAAGCTATACCGACTCCAACGAGGACTGAAGTTTTCTGAGACCGGAGACAGGTCTGCGGCTGTCGTGGCCATCTCTCCAGACCACATCACACTCAAACGACGGAGAACATGCTTCTCTAATGGGCAAGGAGGTGAGTCGATGTCAACTAGCGTAGTTTCTACTCGAGGACTGATTCCGAATTGGCAAGATGGGCAGTCCAGTCATTCCTGTGCCGGCTGGTCCACAGGAGCTCAGGCCGTCGCCTTTTACACCATATCCGACATGATATCGAGCTGGCTCCAATTGCGCGACCGTCTTGTTCCCCAAAAGTACCTTGACATGACTCCTAATTCGGGTTCTCCCAAACTACGACGACATCACCCTCTGCGTTTAGCATTCAATGCGCATGAGCTGCAAGAGACGAGAAAATCGAATCTCAAGTCGCTCTCATCCAAAACGGTGGCGGGAGAGCCGGTCAACCAATGCCAATTGTCGCCAAACTTCGTCTCGGAATCGAGGAGCGGACATTCAAGCGTCTACATCGCGTTCTAACATGCGAGAGAAAATGGTATCCTATGTTAGACAGCAGGCGAGTAAACACCGCAACGAGTCGAAAAGCTGCTGAAGGACTTACTTAGTGTGGAGTCGTGCCTGCGTGTCACAAGTTATTAGGATTTTAGACGACACTCAAATCCTCAAACCACTAGTTTCCCTCCCTCAACAAGCCTCTTCAGGAAGTCGACATATATTGCGCGTTTCGGTTTCGTGCCGTCACAGCCAATCCACTGCCACATATCGAGAACCATCCATCCATCTTTTGCGCAACATCGTAGTGATTGGTGCGAATTAGCACGTCGGGGCAGAACAACCAAAATGTCGATTCCTTGGCCCTACTACGTTTCTCGTTCTCTCCTCCCTCGCATCACAAAAAAACGGCGCTACTCCCATAGTAGCTTAGTTTCGCGTCGGTCGAGAACACGGCATGGAGTACTTTACAAGTCCTCTACAACAACTTTATCCCGCGCTATTCCAGCACCGACACAAAACGGCTTCATTGTTCCGAGGATGTGGCTGTGCACCTCGAAAATCACGAAATTTTCGTTTCTCGATGCTGTGTTTTCGTTGGTCCTCTGAAACGTCTCATCTGGAGTACAGTCTACGTCTCCTTCACCGCGAGCGCCAGTCGATTTTATCCTGGCTCTGTCTAGTGGAAGCCGAGGCCGATAACTCGTTTCTTCGTCGAAGGCGGGACGGAATGAGTCGTTCTCTGTCTGGGTCGAGCATATGGCCCCTGCATCTTCTTTTGCTTTATCCTCGGAATCAAAAGTACATCGTGCACTACCTCAACACGGACGCGCGGGTTGTTTATCTACCATTCAACTCAAGTTGTGGCTGTGCACATGCTGAAATCAGAGAGACTGTATTTCTCGACGCTGTGTGGGGGCAGGTCCTTTGAAACGCGCTACGACACAACCAAACCAACGAATCGTCCATCATAGCCTCTCGATTCTACTGCAGCTCCGTTTGAGTGGGAGTCGACGGTCACGGTCCTTTTACTCCAATGTAACTCCATCGCAAAATCAATCGTTTTCCGTGGAGTTGAAGCTGAATCGCCATACGAATCTCATTCCGCTACACCAACACCAATGCCAGCGCACTGCTTGGTAGTCGTTTATGGAGCTGGTTCCTCTGTTGCAGAGGTGTGGGCGAAATTCGACCAAAAGATTTTATCACATTCTCCCCGCCAAATCTGTTATTCCTTGTCGTCGTGTCTGCGTTGGTGTTCTGGAAACTCAAATGGTTTCCATTCGACCACTTATCTGCTACAAGCACCACTTGATTTGGACGCATTTTTGGTTTCCAGACAATCGAGTCGCGGAGACCAGGCAGAATCGTACCCAGGCTATGTAAAATTGTCGTTGCAACGCATGATGACGTGATTCCATAGCATTCCAATACTGAACCACTCGTCCTCTGTGCGCAGATGGCTTGGTTGGTCGCCATTGAGTTGAATTAGGAATAAGTAATAAGTAGTACATGTCAAGCAGCTATAAGGACGACAGTAGCGCCTTAACCTCGTTGTTGAAGAGGTATTTGACACCGCCCCGACGCCACGCTGCACGTTGGAATGCCTCGATGAGGCGTGTGTTGCCCGGTTGGTCGTCGAGCAGCTGGAATACCTTTTCCACTTGGTCCCATGTGCTAGCGGTGGCCGGAATTTCGGCATAGTCGCTCAATACGCCTGCGAGCTCCTGGTCTTGGAGGATGTCAGTTATGTTTCTCGTCAAGGCAGAGAGAATACGAGAGCGTGTGGTCGTGGATACAAATGTTGCGGGGAACCAGTCGAGGTTGATGGCTTCCGGCAGCGCCCAAGGACTAGGAGCACCTACTGCAAGAGCCCGTGACGTGTTCTGCAAAGCAAGTCTGTACTGCACTTTGTTTGCCATCTCGTCATTGAAGAGCGACGTAACTCCATTTCCGCCGAACTTCCATATGGCGCTCTGAAAGCACTCTATGAGATCGGTCTCGCTTGAGTGGTCGTCGAGAAAGGCGAAAAGTATTTCGACCTTTTTCTCTGCCTGGTGGGCAGCGCGAATCTCTGCGTGGAGAGTAGGATGGTTCTCCAATGGTCTCGCCAGCTCCGGGTCTCGGAGGATATCGATAACTCGTTTTGTGACGGCGAGACGGACATCGGAAGGTGTGGCCGTGGGCAGGAAAGTCGCGGTGAACCATTCTGCACTGGTGGCGCTTGATACATCCGCAGACAACGACAGAGAGCTTTCCGATTCGGTGTGTTGTAGTCTGGTGGCCATTTCCTTCGTAAAGAAGGCCTGGACGCCCCCGTGCTTCCAGGCCATCTGGCGGAACGCGTCAAGAAGTTCAGTGTCCCAGACTTGCTGCTCATCAAAATAGGTGAACAAGGTGTGGACCTGCCGCAGTCCGGCGCCAGGACCACCAACCCGAAGCTTCTGCTGGAGTTGGGGTCTGTCAACGAAGAAACCTGCAAGAGCGCCGATGATTATTTTGATGCTGTGGACGAACGCCAGCTGGATGGAAGAGCGTGGATGGTCGCGAGAGAATGTCTCTGAGAACCACTTTTCAGGCTCGCTTGTGTCCAACTTGAAGATCGGTTGGACTGAGGACTCGGAACTTGAAGGGGAAGACACGCGACTCGGAGGCGCTTGTCGGATGGGAGACGCTGATGGTTCGGGGGAGTGTACAGTCACGGCCTTCTTGCGACCAAATGAAAAGGGAGGGAGTCGACTCGCAGGAACTTGAAGCTTTTTCCTGATTGAGCCTTGGTTTGTTTTGGTAGCTGAAGGCGGAGTCGAAGGGGGTTCCAGATTAATATCCCGTGGTTGGGGTGCTTGGCTGGTCGGCAAAGCGAGTGGCTCTGTGTTCGAAGCGTTACTAGTACTGGTATTGTCGTCAGGTCTGATAGACGGGTCTAGTGAGCATTGCTGATAACTCGACTATTCATGACACTAACATAGAAATTAAAGTGCTGAATGCTTGAACGCGATATGAGGTGGAAAACCATTGCATGAACGCGTCACTAGTCGCCAAGGAGTGTGCATTGGGTAGCATTGCCTCAGCCTTCGGACTACACCGTGATGAGCAGCCGAAAGTAAAGCGATCAGAGAAACTCACTATCTGAGCAGCGAGACCACGTCGAGTGTGCCCGAATACCACCCGCAGTCATTGGTTTCCTGAGAGGATTGAACGCCACGGCGAGCGATAAGGGCGTGTATACCCCGCAGGAAAGCGGTGCAGAGAATATTGAGCCCGTCAAAGTCCGCCAGCCATACGTCGGCGGGTACCGCTCCCAAGTCTGTTTGCTGGATATCGACATCCCGAAGCCGTTGGATGATACCATTGTTGACCTTTCGCAGAACAGTGTCAAAGAGCCGTCCAGATTGGCGCCAAAACGATGGTAGCTCGAGTACTCCTCCCAGGTAGCGAACACAGACACAGGCCAGCACAGCCGACGAGGAGTGGACCGTGCTGGTATGGGCGGAGGGGAGAGAGGTAAGCTCTTCCAGGGCTAAGAGCAAGAATTCGACGACCGTCCATCCACTGTAGCTGCTCCCGCTGTCTGGAACGACACTAGCTTTCGGGTCTTCCGCGTGTTTCGCCTCTACAAACACCGCCATAGTACTGTCAAGAAGGCAAGCAGCCGCCAGGTTGACGAAAAAGTCGAGCTGCTTCTTGTCCCTTTCGTTAGTGCAGCGATGGTCTTCTGGCTTCCAAACAGCGCAGAGAGCATCGAGAGTGACAGGTCGGAGGATATGCGCCGGGGTATTCTCGAGAAAGACATGTCGCAAGCCTGGGTAGCGGGTGGTACAGTCGACAATACCATCGAGAGCATTCATCTGCGTTTCGACAGACTCCGTTCTGGGGCACAGTGAGAACGAGCATTCACAAGAAGAAATGAGACCACACGCACGGAGAAGTGTACCCGAACAATTTTGTGCAGTTTTCTCTGAGTATGCTAACACTACCCTTGTTAGGCTGACGGACTCTCTGTTCCTTTTCCTGCGGACCTCCATGCTCGAAATATGAATGGATTCGTTGAGTGGCAGCAAGCGGTCCGAGCCCCGCGCGATGTGCCACCTTGTTGGCCGTGGTTTCCGCCACGGAGCCGGCCCAGTTGTAGAACTGGTTGATCGTTCTGCCGGGAAAGAGATAGCTTGGACGAGGAGTGGGGCTTTCAACGACGACAACTGCCTTCTGGTTTGGACGGAGGATAAGCACAGTGCTTGTGGCGCTCATAATCGGAGAGAAGAAGCAAGAAGCTGGCGCTACAGTAGCCGCTCGATAGGTACAGCATCGTGTGATTCCGTCGGGGCCATCCTAAAAAGGCAGGAGTTGGATTTCCCTTTGCGCCATGTATAGGGCAGGACAGTATAAGATTTCCTCAGGCTTATCGCATATCCAGAAAGAAATTGAGACTGGTTCTTGGTTTGGATTGGTGGTGAGGAGTATCAAGAGTAACGCCGTGACACTCGTTTTCCTTTCCTTCCCATCCCAATTCCCTCCTGGACTCACCGCGAATGCCTCCCGCCAAGCCTCAGCCACCGCGAAATCCTCACAGACCATGTATTGGTCAGGCCTGTTTTCCTGCAAGCTTCGACAGGAACTCATATATTGCTCGTCAGATTGGGATTGACTAGCAGCAAACGCGTCATCGTTTGGTCAACGGACAAGAGTCCCATCTACGCCCTGACTTTCCCTTCCGCTACAGCTGCAAGCCCCGTCTCAGGCCTTGCCTGCAGCTCCAGGACCTATAACAACCGCGACAAACCTTCCCAGGAACGAAGCAAGTCCGTCGTGGACAACCTCTCCGCGCATTTGTATCGACTTTCAAACAACCAGAGGAGAAGCAGGTTCGATGGGCAATAAGGTGCGTCAATGCCAATTTGCACGATTTCTACTCGAAGGCTGATTTCCAAACGTCTGTCTAGACTACCAGTCGAGTCGTTCCTGTGCCAGCTAGTGAACTGCACAAGAGCCTTCGCCTTCTACATCGGAGTCGACCGACGGACGCGTTGGTTTCAATTCAATAGTGGCTACCTCCGAAATCCCACCTTTTCTGCCGTGGCCATACACCCCCTTGCGTTTCGCATTCGACGCCAATAGGCTGGAAAAGCCGGATATCAGGCCGCTCTTATCCAAAACGGTGGCAGAGCGGGTCAACCAACCGGGGCCGAACTTGGACTCGCCATTGAGGAGCGGGTACTCAAGGGTCGATATCGCAAAACGCTGGAGAATGGTGGCTTGGGATGGACAACAGGTGAGAAAACACCCCCGCTGATCGAAAGGCTGCTGAATGACTTATTCAGAGCTACATACTTTCGACAAGCCGGCATTTTGGATTTCCTCCCAAACGACTACTTTCGCCGCTCAACGAACCTCTTCAGAAAAACGCCACATAGTCGACATCTGTCGCGACGTTTTCGGTTTCGCGCCGTACACAACACAGCCGCTTCTCCATGTCGAAATCTACCATCCATCTTTTGCGTCGTATCATATGGACTTGGAGCGTTCAATTGCGAGCCGTGCTGGTGCAGAAAAGCCGAAATCTCGCTACGTTTCTCGTCATCCTCCTTTGCACATCCAAAATCGCACCCCTTCGATCGGGGCGTGGTTTCGCCGCAGTTTCTTGCGCTGAGTCCCACGACTCTGGATGTCTCGCGACTCTCGACTGGCATTTACGGCTTTTGGTCATCGCTGCCGAATTGCTTCTTCACGAATCGAGCAACTTGCCCGGCTTTGCGTTTTCGGTGCCCAGGAGTCAGGACCATCCCCCCGTTGCGGGCCCTGTCGAAGACGGGCTATAATCTCCACCCGACAACGACACGTGTTTGTCCCATTCGTATCCGTCCGTTGCCGACAGCGAAACTGCTGGCCAACCTGCTTCGCCTGTCGCCTGCTGCAGTAGGCGTCGTCGTCATAACCATGAACCGCGGACATGGCTCGGTTTACTCGTTGTGAGACTGAACGAGATGGGCACTGGTTATGCTTCAGCCACCCGCAAAGGACGACAGACAACAATACCTTTGCTGGCTTTCGCAGATGGCCCGTTAACGACGCTTGAGTGCACACAACAAGCCGGAACAACGCACGTTTATACTCTCTACTCCCCATGCCAATGGCGACCATCCTCCCCCCGTATATATCAATCTCCTCACGGCTTTACTCCTACTGTAGTAGCCTTGCGCCTGGTTCTATCGACTGTTTCGAGTCTATCGGTAGCAGTGGCTGTGCCATACGAAAAAAAGCGGTTTCTTTGGACCACCCTTTAGTCACTTTATCCTCTACATACATAATCCCTCCGCTACCCCGATTGTCATTCAAGTCGCGCCAATTCTGATTGCGGCTTACAGAGCAGCCCATTTCTGAGTGGAGCTGCGAGCACGTGCCAACCTCCTTCCTCTTCTTCCCTCATTGATCTTCAATTCTGACCTCGACCTGCGACGATAACGCCACTTGCGATGCCAGTAACTCTGGAAAGCCTTCCCTTGGAAGTACTACACTGCATACTGAGTGCCCTGAGAGCGCAGTCCAAGCAAGCGACTGATTTTTTGGAAGACTTCAGCCAGGCATGCGCTATCCCTCTCTCCACGGTCTCGCGAGCACTGAGAGCCTCTGTGCTACCGTGGATGTTTGCCTCCACGTACAACTGTGCAGCGAAACAATCGTCAAGCCTTCCGCCACGCGTTCTGTGGCCGTTCTTCAAGTAAGTCCACTGTTTAGCCGTGTGGGCGGTGGTCTGAGCCCTGCAGGACTATACACATTCGGGACTTCTCCGTGGCTCGCAGAGAACATATCTCAGTCTCAAACACACTGTTCGTGGGGCTTCGTGAAATGACGAGTTTGACGACAATCGCAATACGACTACATTCTGCTGTGCCGGACCTTTTGTTTGCTGCGTTGGAGCATCTTCCGCTCCTGTCCTCCCTTGAAATCCACCAAATCAGACTGGATGGGGTCGTGAAGACACGGCCGCTCTTCCTAGAGGCCTTGACCCTCTCGATCGCTGGGTTTTTTGGCGTCTCGCGGCCCGAAGATGTGGATTACAAACGTGAATCACAGAATATCATGAGTCTCTTGCGAGCTGTCGCTCCCAGCCTACGGTTTCTTAGCCTGTCTGGGGACATTCTCCCTGCAGATTTCACGGAAATTGATTGGCCACGACTCATTTCCTGCACAATGACGGAGCACCCGCCCAACACATACATCCCGTTATCGAGGCTCGTTGGACAGATGCCGTCCCTCGACAAGCTCCAGCTTCTTTATACGCCGAACCGCGCCACGAAACGACTGCCTCCATTTGATCTCGTCAGACCGGGCGAAGACTGCAGCTGCCTCGCGCAGCTCTCCTCCTTGTCGGTGTCCAATATCCACATCGAAGACGCCGTCTTCCACAGCCTGCCCGGACGCCTCCAAGAGCTGCATCTTCTCGCGGTGTGGGACGTCCGCGAGGAAGGCACACATTTTTTCGTAGCAGACATAGACCACTCCAGTCTCGGCGGGATGGGGGAGTACCGCGTGTCCTATGAGCCATGGGTGCTGTTGCTCGCTCAATGTTCGTTCCTCAATCTCACCACTATGTCCATGACGATTGGACCCCCGTCACCCGCACCTCTGCTTATTCAGACGATCGCCTCTGCCGCCCCCAACCTCCGCGCGGTATACGAGACCAGCGACGCCGAGCAGCGAATCACCGTCGATCTGGTAAATGTGAGCTCTCCCAATTCACTCATACAGTAAGTAACCCACTCACTCGAATTTCAGACACACATCTTCCCTGCCCTGCGTCAGCTCCAGCAGCTGGCGCGTTTCTGCATCTTCATCGACTACCTGGTGATCGAGCTTAACCCGGGGGCCCCCGGCCACTCGGCCTACCGCCTGTTCGCGGAGGTCCCGGCGCTGCAGACGGTGGTGTACAAATTTGCGGGCTATCTCTCGCCGCCACAGTCCGTGTTGACCTATGTGTGGGGTAGGGAAATGCTCGCCAGGCCACCCCCTCCGCGGATCGTGCCCAGACGCCCGTCCTTCTCTGAGCCGCGTAAACGGCCCGTGAACGTTCATCGACAGTAAATGACGTGAAAGGATTGGGCGCCACCCGGAAAAGTACTTATTTGAAAAGGCGGTTTCTGGCATCGATGATAGGCACAAGTTACTAGTACAGTTTAGTTGCTCCTCCCAACGGCGGCCAGGTGGCACCACATTTTCCCCTCCAACAGCAAAAGAGAATCACACTGTCATATTAGAAGTCTAGGACATCCCGATATAAGTGCCCACAGCCAAATGTATGATCGTGTGTCCTCGTAAACGCGGCCAACGTAAGTATGTATGGAGAGCGGAGAAAGTGGAATGTGATCGTGTGGTGGGCGCGGTAGTGGAGGACCGTGACGTTAACGTATCCAACGAGTAAAAGTGTGTTTATTGCCGTGGATGTTCACAAATTGACAATAGGGGTGGGAAGCACTGAAGCAGGAAGAATGCGCTCGGCTTGGATGGGGGCGGCTATCGACATCGAGTCAGCGAAAGCACCAGGGATGATGAGAACAGACACACTGGGACCCAAAAGCAACGAGCAAGGTCTCGACAACCGTCAGTCCACCAGCATGGCCTTGACATTTCCTGCCCGATTCACTCCCACAAGACATGCGCGCTGCCGACGAGACCCGCGCTTGGGAAACCCACGAGAGAGTCGACTTCGTGTCGGTTTCATGACCATGGCGGCGCAGCGGCGAGGCGGGGTCCTAGCCTCCTAGGCCATCCATACTGTGTGCGTGGGCTGTCGTTGACTCGTTGAGAGTGGGGCTATCCACAGTTTGAGTACGACGCACAGGAAGACATGACGAGTTGTTCTCTTGACGCGGGCTGACCAAACGCACACTCTGCAAATAAAACCGTCGTCGTTGCGAGAAACGACCGGCTTCAGTTTCATCCCGACTTGCTGCCACAACAAGACTATGGAGCGATAGTGGGGGGAGGAGAGTTTGTGAGTGCCGAGATGCTGCAGCAAGCGCGCATGTCCAAGGTTAAGCTTGCGCTCAGCCGAGTCGATGTGACCGTGACGTTAGTGACCATGACGTTAGTCATCCCGCCTCCCTCAACTTGAACGTCTATGGCACAGCCCAAGCTCGACGGGTTCTGGCTGAAGATCCTGTACGCACACTCCAATATGACTACCGTCGCCGAAGAGGTGCGTCGTGGCTTATTCGACGGGTCCAAGCTTGATTGAGCCTGGAGATAAAATACGCTCGGCTTCGTGTTGCGGCGAACTATGGACTGGCGCCGCTCGAGGAACAGTCTGACTCTGAGTCCCTCGTGGCGGACTCGGACTCGGCGGATGCTCGTGAGTCGGCCGCTGTGACCAACAGTGTTTCCAGTCCAAGGCTCCGAGCAACGACAGACGCTCTCGGCTCATCTAGTTTGGAATTGCCAGTGGATGAAAGAATTCTGCCAGAGCCTCAATATCGCCGTCCGCCATATACTTTCCAATTGAACCCCATGGGTATCGGGCACCGGACAGGGCTCGGCGACGATATTGGTCGGTCCTTCGAGCACCTGGAAGCGTCCGCATACCTGTCACTGATCACCCCACCGGGCAGCGGCCAGTCCTTCCGCGGTCATGGTGCGATCAGGCACATTAGCTTTCAATGTCGGATACTCATCCTCTCTCCGCAGACATTCGGCCGCGAGGACGGTATCTCACCCGAGCAAAGACTGCGTTTCTTGGTTGACCTGGGTGCGTGTGATCTTCCTTCCAACGAACGCGCACCCACCTGAACTTTGTCAATTCCAGGATCTAATGCCTTGTAAGCTGGCTTGCCGCGACATGTCCACACTGCTTATCGGACACCAGCTGGGCCGCATCGGCCGAAATTACGGGCAGTGACGATCAGTATTTACCATTTCGGGGCCGCTTCGGCGCGTTTCACGACCTCTGGGGCTACAGAAACCCGAGGAACAGAGAGACTGTGATTTCGACCATGACTGACGAATTCTGCAGTGGATGTGCCGATGGCAAAGAAGGTCAAGCGGGTGAGTGCGACCTGCCCGCAGCCATGCAGCTCACAACTTGAACACACAACTCTCAGTTTACCGTCTCCACAGGGACCGCATCTACTTCAAACACGCGGATGATTGGTCGAAAGCGGAGACACTTCCGGTTGTTTTCGGCGTCGCGCACGACGTCAGCGAAGGCCGTTTGCAGACGATTCCTGCGGACGGTATCCTGCCGTTAGGCCGTCGGTGAGTCGACTGCATAGTCTGCTGCCTCAGAGGAGGAGATAACTGGGCGGGCAGCATGAGCTTTGACCCGAATGAAGGATATGCAAGTGAATCACGCTCACCGATCTTCCGCGGCTCAACCAATTGTGCAGTCATTCCTCGGCCAGATTGCCCCACACTTGGTCAGTGCAATCAGACACGAGTGGTTGTTGTTCATCGATGATTCGATTAATCCGCCATAGGAACATCCCGAGTTAACCATGTATTTTACGAAGACTGGTAACCCAACAGGGTACGTCGTCAAAGCGACGCCGGCGGCTGCCGACATTGACATCACCAGCGCGATTCTGCTTGGCAAATGCACAAAAGTAGCTCACGAGAAGGCGGGGCTCTTCGGACCATGGCACGACGACATTCCCCTCATCGGCGACCTCCACTGGGCGCTCGAAGCCAACCTCAAGAAGGTGGACGATGAAGTGCACCAGACAAATACGCGTCTTGCTCAGAATGGCATAGTTTTCGACTCTGGTACGTCCCAGCGGCATTCAATTAATACACTCTTGACGTTGCTCCGAGATTCCACGTTCACGTTTCTCGAAGACCTGCTTTTCCACAAGATATATAAGGAGCACCGGCTCGAATACGACCCCGCCGTGGAGGCGTGGACCATCAGCGCAGACACAATTTCCGGCGTTCCACTGCCGTCGGTCGAGATACAGCTGGGGCCCGCGACCCAGGGGGACTCGCGGTATTTCCCATTTCCGGTCTTGTACCTCCGGCCAGCGGGGGCGGCAGCGCCCCCTGCCGGCCCGGGCCGCGTCGTATGCGCCATCCAGCCCCTCTCACAGCTGTCCACAGACGAGGGTGCACCCGAGGTCCTCGGCATCGTACGCATGTTTCTATTTTATGTAATGACGAGTGCCATGTTGATCGATCGACAGACCGCGCTGACGCATCTTGCGGTCAAGTTGCGGTTCCCGGATGTTGCCGACCGGCGGTGCGATCGGCTGGCGTGGCGCACGAAGCCAGCCGACTGTGGGGCACTGGCACCTAGAGGAGCCTGGGAGTAGATAGTGTGTGTGTGCTTCTGCTAGTGCTCGTAACATGTACTCGGGCTATCAAATTAGGACAAAGATGAAAGCTGCAAGGAAGGCGAGTAACCGACAAGAACAAAAGGCACACGCTAGCAACGCAGGCATACTGGTAGAATAGTACATAGTAGTTATAAGAAGAATAGCCCCGGAAAGTCAAGAGGCTTGCGGCAAATTATCAAACGGCGCGCGCCACCACTTATAGGGACACTGGCAGCCCACAATGTCGTTGCATCACCAAAAGGACCCGCGGTTAATGAGCCCAACAGGCATTGATGGCAGAGAACACACAGCGTGTGTGTCGTGGAAGGTTGCCCATGACTGTAACTGTTTCCAGTCGGACGAGAAAATTGCACAGCCACTGCTGCATGAAGACGAGTAGGAAATGCCATCCCAGTCGAGTCTTTAGGATTGCGCGCAGCGGGCGGAAGCAGCCCTTTGAATCCGTGAACTGGAAGGGTGATAGCGCCGGGCCAGCATAAGATACTGGGGCAAAACCAGGCTGCGAAGGGGAGAATGACGCCGAACGACATAGACGGGGCGGGAAAGAATCGAGGGTGTTGTGCAGCGGGCTGCTGACCCGCAATCGAGCACTGCCAGTCCATAGGATATCGGATGGATGGATGGATGGATGGTGGGATTCGATATGGAGGAGAAGCGGGTTGGTTGCGAGGCCGGGAGATATGTCGACGATAGTCCATATGCATCGTTTAGGCTTGTTGAGTGGGGAAAAGTGGTCGTTCGGGAGGGCTGGGTGTGGTTTGCCTTCGTCCAAAATGCGAGCGCGTGGTAGCGGTGGGCATAGCCCTGAATAATAAGCCCGTTAGCAGCTTTTCGACGAGCTAAGATGGTACGCGCCCGTCGTCCGGTATAAGACACCATTCTCCAGCGAATTTGAAGGCGATGTAGACGAGTATGGGCTCCTCAGCCTCGGCCGTATAGGTATTGCCCGCCTCGCAAACGCTGGCGGGAGATTCGGTTGTGAGGGCGTGATTGCGCGTCTTGCCATTGGCATCGAATGTCGGACACAGGCAGCGCGCCCGCGTCGACGGGAGAAGGGGACATGAGGGTAGGCTTTTGGGGCCGGACGGCCGCCGAGTTGAGGCCGGCTCGCTATGCACGGCGTGGCGAGTCCAATACGATGATGCGTGAGGGTAGACTGCCCGTCTTGCGAATTCGGAATCAGGCCTCGGCCAGAAGCTTAAGCTACACACGTTGACTCACCTCGGCGTCCATCCCATTCCCCGCGGCCGTCGTCGGAATGTAGTCTGGTCTGGCGAGGCCGCCACGACGGACCGTGCTCCGCTCGTGGAAAGAGGTGTCTTCCCGCTATAGCAGCGGGGAAACGTGTGTCGTGGATGGGCCTATGCGGAGGCTCCGGTGGCCACACGCTGACGCGCTTGTTGGTCTATGGTGGCGGGCGGCATCCGAGTGCGCAGCGGGTGCGGGAGATAGAATTTGGATGCCATGGGGTGAGGAAGCAAAAGTAGTGTCACGGCGTTACTTTTAGTGATCTCCAGGACTTGGACCAACGACGAAGTACTGGCAAGAAGAATCCCTGCGGTCGGGGGCAACTACAAACCCTTTCTCGCCAGGATTCAAGTCGCACTGTCGGTCGCTATAACTGCGGGGAATTCGACCCCCCTTCGACAACGCCGATCCGAATGATTCGCAGGACCGCGACAGGTTCAGCGCGTACTACGCGGAAGAGGAGCATGGTTGTGTGTCTCTCTCCCTTGTTTCGCCTCCCCGAGACTGACCCGCTCTCTCCAGGGAAATTGTATGCGGATTCCTTCCGTTCACGCATCATAAGTGGGTCCCGGGACGACGCTGCGCTGGCGGAAGCAGATGGGCACCTGTACATCCCGCCCGAACTCGGGGTTGCAGATCATCTTTCTGGGAGCAGTTTGGAGCAGGAGCCGTTTGATGGCGTCGTCGGTCTCGGTCGGATCCGGAAGTAGGTCGTTCGCTCTGAACCGGCTTTGCTTATGATCATGCGATAGAATGGTGCATGGCGCAGCGGAGGGCGGGGCAGCCTGATGCACTCTTCGAATCCCAACAGCCGACGAAAAGCGGCAGGGCGTCCTGGTGCAGATGTGCGCTCGATTGGTGTGCTGCCACGGCGCATCGGGAAGGGGCTGCGACTAAGCCTTTGCAGCGCGTGCCGCAGATGACATTGTGTCTCACCCCCCAGGGCGAGTCCGCCTGCTGCGTCTGCCTCGTCTGATTTTTTCATCAGAGACCTCGTATTTGGCGAATTCCCGAATGTTTCTGGCTCCGAGTCCGACGTCTCCTTCGGGGCGTTCAGCGGTCCAGTCAAACCGGTCGGCAACGACATGTGGCAAATCACCTCTCGCTTCTGGCTCGTGGACGGAGCGAAGTTGTCCACCACCGGCGAATCTGATGGGACAGCAATAATCGACCCAGGAACGCTGCGTCCTTCTCAGAGCATACCTAACGGGCACTAACAATGGAAAATCTAGGGACGGAGTTTACTTACGTCAACGACCACATCGCGGCTGCGATCCACAAACTCATTCCGGGCCCGGTGGTCTACGACGAGGCGTCCGGGATGCGCCTGATCCCAGAGCGGCCCCGAGATGCGCCAGAAATGACCTGGCCGACCGTGCTCTTCGACATGGGCGGCACCATGACAACCTTCCAGTTCACCCGTTTCCGCGTCCCCCCGCACAGCCTACGGTGCAGGGTATGACATCTGCGGCATCCAGTCAAAGGACCTGCTCAGGCGGGGCGGCAAGGCTCTGAACGCAGTGATCGCCCAAGAGGCCTCTTTGGCTGGCAGCGGGAACCCAGGGGCCTTGGAAGGGCCAGAGGCCTCTTTCTAGGAGGCCCTTGGGGGCCCTTTTGATCGCGATCATCAATTTGATCGTGATCATCAATTTTTTACTTCTCTACATAATCATTGTCATCCAAAAGGGTACAAAGCGCCATCATCGGGGATTGCATCAGCTTTGGCATCAGCCAGATCGTTTTGGTGCTGTACCTCCGCCTGCTCATCAATCTCATCTTGCTGTATGGGATCAACACGTTGACGTGATACAGATTATACTGACTGATGCGATCATGATCCAATCACAAGGGCCTTGCAAGGCCCTTGAGTCTGGCAGCTCGGAGCCCAAGGGCCCTGGCCAAGGGCCCCAGAGGCCTCTGCCATCAAAGGGCCTTGGCACCTTGGGCAATCACTGTCTGAACGACCCGCCGAATTACTTTGGACGTGCAAGTGCCCGTTTCCGTTTGGGCAGCCGGACAGCGAGCTGACTGCGGCTTCTGTACTACAGACATGTACGGGATGCAGCCCGCCCTGCGCTTCCCGCCGGAGGGCCACGAGCTTGTCTGGCGCTCAAAGCCGCAGGACTTTCGACCGGAGCCCATGCGACTGCATTAAACAAACAGCAGAGTGCTCTGTACTCCAAGTCTTCTGTGAACTAGTACTAGACAAGCCGGGGAGTGGCTTTGAATGTTACTAAGTAAGCTTGTTACAAGGCCCGCAAATCAAGTTACTACTAGTATCTCGACAGAATATGATTACATGATCAACTGTCCCGGCCGGATAACCCTGGCCGGCCGAGGCAGCGCGAGCAAGCTGCGGTCCCACGCGTCAACGACCGGCCTGCCCAGCCCGTACGGATGCCGCGTGTTCCAGTACCCCTCAAACCGATACGTCACCGTCCGCAGCGTCGGGACATGCTCGAAGAGGCAATACGCGGCGTAGACCGGCGGGCCGGGGTAGAACTCCATCGCCTCCATCACGATGCAGATCCTGAGGTGGGCGAGGCGGCGCAGCTGCCGGAACCAGTCAAAGAGCAGCTCGGAGTACTACACACACAGAGTCAGTCAATGTTCCATCATATATAATCACGCACTCCCGAAAAGTCTATGAGATTGAACTGTTCATACTCCGGTCGATGCACCAGCTCCAAAGAAACCAGATTCGGCGCCCGTTCAAGTATCGACTCGAGAACGGGTGGCCCGAAGCAGCGGCCGGGTATATGCAGTGCACCGGCAATCGACAGCGTGGTGAGGCTGCCAAAGGGCGGCAAGGCCTGAAGGACGGCGTGTGCGTGCTTGGTCGACAGCGGGTAATCGCCAAGCGGCCCGAGGTACCATTGCGGACGGGCACTTCGGTATGGTCCTGCGGGCACATCATGCAGCGCTTGAAGCTTGAGCGCCGTCAGATTGGGCGGGAGTTGGCGGAACACTGCATCTTCGTGGTCGAGATTCGAGAATGAGCAGGATTCCAGCTCCGGAAGGCAAGAAAAGACGTCCGAGTCGGCGCCGACGTCCAGGCGGAACGGCGGCAAACGGTGGTGGGGGACATCGGCCGTGTAATGCAGTTGCAGCTCAACTACCCGCCGCATGTTGCCAATCAGGCGAGTAAGCGGGATGGAGGGAAGCGGAGGGTGGTCGGTGATCGTGAAGTGTTTGAGGCATTTCCACCGGATGTCGCCGAATTGCGAGACGAGAAGGTCGCCTGATATTTCGAGTCTGATGAGCTTTGTCGAGAGGGAGCCCAGAAAGGCCATAAGGTTGCGTGTTTCTTCCGTTCTGTTGATGTCCAGCTGGCGACGAGTCCGCAGTGGTCCGCTTATGCGAAGAACCAAGCTCGTTAGGGAGCGGAATGAGAGACTGGCGGGTATTGGGCCATCGAGCCGGATGTAATGGAGTTCGAGATGGACGAGGGAATCGAGGGCGGCGATTCTTTCGAGGAATGAGTAGGAAAGCGTGGTACGGAAGTATACCACAAGTTGGGAAAGTGAGGGCATTTGGGATAAGGAGGCTTGCGAAGCGGACGAAGGTAGTATCTCCAGAGAGGCAGCCCTGTGCAACGCGTCGAGATGGTCCCACAAGGAGACTTTTCTGTCAACATATCATTGTTAGGCATGGGCGGAGTGAAAGAGAACGCACCGAAAATGAGGCCAAAGTGATTCGGGCCACATACTTGTTCCTTTTCTCCCCAAGTTCGAAACATCCCAGAAGGTCCATCGGACGGTCTTCGCGCGCAGCGTTTTCGACGTGCTTGACAAGGATAACGCGCAGGTTCGCGACCGCTGTGATGCAGCGAAGAGGTGGTCGAGGATGCGAGAAATCAGCTCAGTGGCGAGTAGCTCTATAGCCGACATGGGTGATGGTGCAGAACAAGCAGGTCAAAAAACGCGTAATGTCACGGCACACTGCCACTGTCATGGTCACGGAAAGATAGGATAAATAACCATCTAGATTCGTCAAACCCTCTCTGTATACAGGTCGGCCTTGACCCCCATTGAACTCCCAACGCCGCCCATCACATTCCTCTAATAACCAGGTAATTACACTCCTGTTCGTCCGAAAACATCTCGATGAAGTAACCGTCTGATCGCTCTGTCCAACCAGCTTTGGGTCTACGGAGAACGTGGACAGCGCAAGGTTGCTTGACTTGCGCCATGAGAGCTCAGGTAACGACAAATCCAATGTTGGTAGATAGTCCTCGCACAAATCAATGGCTGTGTAGTCAACAAAATCGATACTGACTAAACGAAAGCAGCGGCAGCAGCTGTCGACGCCCGAACTTGATTCCGAGTGGAGAGCCAACGCAACATTGAAAGCGACCATTGTTAGCTCACGCATGCGCGCTGGGCAATGGCGCTTCGGCTCTCGGACTTGTAATATGGATCAGCCACTTTTTTGTTGTTATAGGTAAGACAAACCACATACTATCGAACAAGCAGAGCAAGCTAGAGCACATCTCCAAACAACTCTTGATCTCCAATAGCACTATGGATGTTGGAGCGCGGAACAAATCCATGGGTCCCAGATGGTCTCCGGTATGGCCCGCAACAGTCGGTAATGAAGGAGCGATGCAAGACTGCACAAGCCATTCGATTTGCGAAGAAGAATTGGCGCAGTCGTTTTGGATTTGATGAAGGATGAAAGCCATTCGAGGCTTCGATAGTCCTGGGTAACAAAATGCAAGGCCGGGCAAGTCATTCGATTCGTGAAGGAGCATCCGTGCAATTCCCCAGGATTTGACAACAAAGACGACCAAAAGCCGTAAATGCCATTCGCGGTCGCGAGATACTATGCATGCAGCCATCGAGAGTGGTGGGACTCAGCGCAAGAAACTGCGGCGAAACCACGCCCCGATCAAAAGGGTGCGATTTTGGATGTGCAAAGGAGGATGAGGAGAAATGTAGGGAGAAGGGATGGAGATTTCGGGTTTTCTGCACCAGCATGGCTCGTAATTGAACGCTCCAAGTCCATATGATACGACGCATTGGCAAAAGACGGGTGGTGGTTTTCGACATGGAGAAGCGCCTGTGTTGTGTACAGCGCAGAACCGAAAACGTCGCGACAGATGTCGACTATGTGGCGTTTTTCTGAAGAGGTTCATTGAGCGGCGAAAGTAGTCGTTTGGGAGGAAATCCAAAATGCCAGCTTGTCGAAAGTATGTAGCTCTGAATAACTTATTCAGCAGCCTTTCGATCAGCGGGGGTATTTTCTCACCTGTTGTCCATCCCAAGCCACCATTCTTGGGCCAGCGTTTTGGAATGCGATATCGACCCTTGAGTACCGCTCCTCAATAGCGAGTCTAAGTTCGGCCTCGATTGGTTGACCCGCTCTACCACCGTTTTGGATAAGAGCGGCCTGATATCCGGCTTTTCCAGCCTATTGGCGTCGAATGCGAAACACAAGGGGGTGCATGGCCACGGCATTGGGAAGAAAACGAAGCAGGAAAAGGTGGGATTTCGGAGGTAGCCACTATTGAATTAAACCAACGCGTCCGTCGCTCGACTCCAATGTAGAAGGCGAAGGCTCTTGTGCGGTTCACCAGCTGGCACAGGAACGACTCGACTGGTAGTCTAGACAGACGTTTGGAAATCAGCCCTCGAGTAATTGTGCAAATTGGCATTGACGCACCTCATTGCCCATCGAACCCGCTTCTCCTCTGGTCGTTTGAAAGTCGATACAGATGTGCGGAGAGGTTGTCCACGACGATCTTGCCTCGTTCCCGGGGAAAGTTTGTCGCAGTTGCTATGCGTCCTGTAGCTGCAGGCAAGGCCTGAGACGCGACTTTCAGTTGTAGCGGAGGGGAAACTGGTGGCGTAGATGGGACTATTGTCCGTTGACCACACGCGTTTGCTGCTGGTCAATCCTACTCTGACGGGCAATATACGAGTTCCTGTCGAAGCTTGCGGGAAGACAGGCCTGACCAATGCATGGTATGTGAGGATTTCGCGCGGCCTGGGGCTTGGTGGGAGGCATTCACCGTGGGTCCAGGATGGAATTGGGAAGGAAAGGAGAGGAAAGAAAAACGAGTGTCACGCTGTTACTCCTGACTCGGATACTCCTGACCACCAAACCAAGAACCAATCTCAATTTCTGATCTGCGATGAGCAACTCTTATACTGTCCTGCCATAAATTACACGGCGCAAAGGAAATCTAACTCCTGCCTTCAGGACGGCCCCGACGGAATCACACGATGCTGTACCTATCGAGCGGCTCCTGTAGGGCCAGCTTCTTGCTTCTTCTCTCCGATAATGAGCGCCACAAGCACAGCGCTTATCCTCCGTCCAAACCAGAACGCAGTCGTCGTCGTCGAACGCCCCACTCCTCGTCCAAGCTACCTCTTTCCCAGCAGAACGATCAACCAGTTCTACAACTGGGCCGGCTCCGTTGCGGAAACCACAGCCAACAAGGGGGCACATCGCGCGGGGCTCGGACCGCTTGCTGCCAGTCGACGGATCCATTCGTACTTCGAGCATGGAGGTCCGCAGGAAAAGGCACGGAGAGTCCGTCAGCCAAACAAGGGTAGTGTTAGCATGCTCGGAGAAAACTGCACAAAATTGTTCGGGTACACTTTTCCGTGCGTGTGGTCTCATTTCTTCTTGTGAATACTCGTTCTCACCGTGCCCCAGAACGGCGTCTGTCGAAACGCAAATCAATGCTCTCGATGGCATTGTCGACTGTACCACCCGCTACCCAGGCTTGCGACATGTCTTTCTCGAGAATGCCCCAGCGCATATCCTCCGACCTGTCACTCTCGATGCTCTCTGCGCTCTTTGGAGACCATCGCTGCACTAACCAAAGGGACAAGAAGCAGCTCGACTTTTTCGTCAACCTGGCGGCTGCTTCCCTTCTTGACAGCACTATGGCGGTGTTTGTAGAGGCGAATCACGCAGAAGACCTGAAAGCTCGTGGGGCTCCAGACAGCGGGAGCAGTCACGTTGGATGGACGGTCGCCGAATTCTTGCTCTTGGCCCTGGAAGAGCTTACCTCTCTCCCCTCCGCCCACACCAGCACGGCCCACTCCTCGTCGGCCGTATCGGCCTGCGTCTGTGTTCGCTATCTGGGGGGAGTACTCGAGCTACCGTCGTTTTGGCTCCAATCCGGAGCGCTCTTTGACACTGTTCTGCGAAAGGTCAACAGCGGTATCATCCAACGGCTGCGGGATGTCGATATCCAGCAGACAGACTTGGGAGCGGGACCCGCCGACGCATTGCTGGCCGACTGTGAAGGGCTCGATATTCTCTGCACCGCTTTCCTGCTGGGTATACAGGCTCTTATCGTTCGCCACGGCCGGGGCCCGGGGCTTCAATCGTCTCTTCAAATGAATGACGGCGGATGGTATTCGGGCACACTCGACGTGGTCTCGCTGCTCAGATAGTGAGTTTCTTGGAACGCTTGACTTTCGGCTGCTCATCACGGTGTAGTCCGAAGGCTGAGGCAATGCTGCCCAATGCCCACTCCTGGGCGACTAGTGACGCGTTCATGCGATGGTTTTCCACCGCATATCGAGTTCAGGCGTTCAGCACCATGGTTCAAGTTCCTATGTTAGTGTCATGAACAGGTCGAGTTATCAGCAATGCTCACTATCTATCAGACCGGACGACAATACCAGCAATACCAGTACTAGGAGCATTACCAACCCAGAGCCACTCGCTTCGCCGACTGGTCAAGCACCCCAACCATGGGGTGTTAATCTGGAATCCCCTTCGACTCCGCCCTGGGCTACCAAAACAACCCAAGGCTCAATAAGGAAAGCGCTGCAAGTTCCTGCGAGCCACCTCCCTCCCTTTTCATTTGGCATTTGGTCGCAAGACGACTGTGCACTCCCCCGAGCCCCCAGTCTCTCTCGTCCGACAGGCACCGCGTAGTCGCGTGCCTTCCCCTCCAAGTTCCCATGTCCACCCGACCTTCCCAGACAACTTGAAAAGCGCGCCCGAAACGTCACGGTGGTTTGCAGAGACGTTCTCTCGCGAGCATCCGCGCTCCTCCGTCCAGCTGGCGTGCGTCCACAGCATCAGAACAATCATCGGCGCTCTTGCGGGTTTACTCGTCGCCCGGCCCCAGCTCCAGCCGAAGCTCCGGGCGGCGGGTCGGCGGCCCCGGCGCCGGACTGCGGCAGGTCCGCGCCTTGTTCGGCTAGCGCTATCTTGACCAGACGGTCGGATGCCGAACTGCGTGGCGCTAACCCTAACCCTAACCCTAGCCTGGGCGCACGCGGGCGCCCTCTTTGCGGAGGACATGGCCACCAGACGCAGGCTGCAACGCGCGCAACCGGATGACGCGGTCCGGAGTTCTCCAGCGGTGTCTGCGGACACCAGCCCTGTGCCCCCGCTACCACTGGCAAGCGCAGAATGGTTCCTGCGTGACAGGTTCCACTTGCTCATTCCTGAATCAACTTGATGGCGACCAACCAAGCCGTCTGCACACAAACGACATACGACGAGCGTTTTAGTATTGGAATGCCATGCAATGAAGCCATTATGCGTTGCAACGACGATTTTACACCTGGGTACCATTCTGCCTGGTCTCGGATCTCCGAGTACACGACTCGATCGTCTTGACACCGAAAACGCGGCCAAATCAGGTGGCGCTTGTAGCCGAGGAGTGGTCAGATATAAACGACGCGAGCTATTCAGAATACCAACGCAAACACGACGACGAGGAATAACTTGGTCGAATTCAGAGCGACATTGAGCGACTGGTGCGTTGAGGCTGGCGCAGCGGACGCCGCGATGAGATGGGTATGACGACGCAGTTGGTGGTCTGGCTCCAACTCCGCAGAGAACGATTGACTCTGCGAAGGAGCAAAAGCACTTTAACCGTCCACCCAAACGAAGGTGCAGTGAAATCGAGAGGCTATGATAGACGATTGGTTGGTTTGGTTGTGTCGTGACGCGTTTCAAAGGGCCCACCGCCACACAGCATCGAGAAATGCAGTCTCTCTCTGATTTCCCTGCGTGCACAGCCACAACTTGTGTCGAATGGTAGATGAACAACGAGCGCGTCCGTGTTGAGGTAGTGCACGATGTATCTTTGATTCCGAGGATCAAGCAAACGAAGACGCAGGGGCCATGCGCTTGGCCCAGACAGAGAACGAATCAGTCCGCCCCAAGAAACGACCGCGACCGTCGTGTTCCTTCCACCCAAACGGAGCTGCAGTAAAATCCAGAGTCGATGATGGACGATTGGTTGGTTTGGTTATGTCGTAACGCGTTTCAAAGCGCCAGCGCCCGCGTAGCCTCAGGAAATGAGAAAGTCTCGGTTTTCGGCGCGTGCACAGCCAATGTCAGCCATACGTGAGTCGAATGGGGGAGACCGGGGGCGCGTGGGTGTTGAGGCGGTGCGGAATAGATCGTGGATGGCGCGCGTGAATCAAAAGGAGAGGTAGGGGTTATGCGCTTGTCCCAGACAGAGAATGAATGATGCCGCCGCTGCCTTCGACGAGGAAACGGGTTATCCGCTCGACGGAGCCGGAGGAAAATCGAGTGGCGCTCGCGGCTCGCGGGGGAGGAGAGGTAGAATGTGCACCATGAGACGTTGCGGAGCAGCAACGATAACACAGCGTCGACAAGTGGAAAGTCTGGGATGTCGCAGGTGCACAGCCACAGCTTCGAAAATGTAGTCGGCTTATATGAGTGCTCGAATAGCGTTGGGTGAAGTTGCTGTACAGGACTTGTAAAGGAGCCCAGGCCATGTTTTCGACCCAATGGGAGACAAGGCTTCTCGAAGCGACAGCGTCTCGTCACTCTCGTGTGCGGAAAGTTGGGCTGGTCGCGAACGGCAGAGTATCGAGTTCCCTCGTCGTT